TACACGTAGCAGCACAGCGCGAGTACGAGCTTCACTCCCTCGACTTCTCTACTGCCTTTCTTCAGGGCAGCCTACACGAGTAGGTCTACCTGCGCCGACCACAGGGCTTCACTGGTACCTTCCCCCCTGGGACCTACTGGCTTCTCAGGCGCCCGGTCTACGGCCTGCGCCAAGCTCCCCATGGCTTTCACGACACGCTACGTGCCACGCTAGCAGACCTGCAGTTCTTTCCGTCTCTACTGACCTCTCACTTGTTGTGCGTTCCGGCCAGACTCCGTTCTACATCCTTGTCTACGTAGATGACCTGGTCTTCGCTACTACTGACAAGGACGCACTGGCCTCCGTGAAGGCCGAGCTGCTGAAGAAACACACCTGCACTGACCTTGGAGAGCTGCGTCGCTATCTTGGCTTGCAGATCTCCAGGGACAGAGCAGCACGCACCATCACTCTGACAAAGTCACACTTGGTGCGTCAGGTCCTTCAGAGGTTCGGTCTTCAGTTCTCCTCCGCACAGCCCACACCTCTACCTGTAAACCTTGGGCTCTCCGCTCCCGTTCCTCAGGAGCCAGTAGAACCCAGCGGCCCCTATGCAGAGCTGGTGGGTTGCCTCATGTGCCTGATGACTTGCACTCGCCCAGATCTCGCATACCCTCTTAGCATCCTGGCGCGCTTTGTGGCCACTGGCAGACACCGACCACAGCACTAGTCGGCCGCTAAGAGGGTTTTGCGATATCTAGCAAGTACATCAGGCATGGGGTTAGTGCTTGGAGGACGTAGGCCAGTGGTTCTCACTGGGCACACAGACGCTTCTTGGGCAGACGACTCTGAGACTCTCAGGTCATCTCAAGGCTACTGTTCTAGCCTTGGTTCGGGTGCTATCTCTTGGAGATCCACTTGCTTGTCGTCTGTTGCTCAGTCCAGATGTGAGGCTGAGATCTACGCCGGTGCCATGGCGGCACAGGAGCTCCGCTGGCTTACTGTGAGAGTACGACCTCGTTACACCACTTGGCCTTCTCTTATTTCCTTCCTTTTTCCTTTCTCTTTTATTCCATCTCATTTGGTTTCCTATTCTTCCTTTTCCATTAACCTTTGGTTTATCCTGCTATTATAATTATATCACCGACAAGGCTTGGGATGTACTGGTGCGCTCTATCTAGCGTAATCCAGCTGTAATCCCTTAAAGCCAATAGCCTCGCGTGGCTATACGCAGGGTGATTCTATCTTCTAGAAGGGTCTATTCCCCTAGGATAAGATAAACCTGGTTACCTGATGTACTCTGGAAGTATAAAAGCGCCTTGTACTGATCGATAGTGCAACCTTTCCTCGACACATTCGATCATGTGACACTTACCTTCTTGCTCACTGACTTAGGTGAGCGGCCTAGCTCTGCCCCGGTCCTGTACGTTGACAACAGGGCCATGATTCTCCTGTGTCAGGAGCCTCGACTTGAGGGCAGAGCGAAGCATATCCAGCTGCGGTACTTCCTCCTGCGCGAGCTACAGCAGCGCCGCCAGGCCCGCGTAGTTCACTTGGCCTCCGGTGCCAACCCAGCTGATATCTTCACTAAGGCGCTTGCGCCTAAAGATCATCAGCGGCACTGTGTACAGCTCGGTCTTGTTCCTGTAGCTTCTCACTTGTTAGGACCCTGATTGTGTACTCTCTACTATATATACCTTTCTGACTGGCCTTGTGGCCTTACCTCCAGTGGCTGGACTAGTAGTGTCGCCCTGGCTTGCTTTAGTCTTGTTTGTACTCTTGCTGACTGGTCTCTGGACCCCTGCCTCAGTGGTTGGACTAGTAGTGCCACCCTGAGCTGTGTGCTTCTTGCTTAGCACCACCCCTTCTCTAGCCTAGGGGGTGTGTCAACTTATACATATGTTGTACGTAGAAGTTCTAGGTTAGCCTAGGTGTGTGCTTCTAGTGAGTACATCCCCAACAGATATATGTTATAGGTTTCTCATACTAGTCAATCATTCTTGCATTCTAACACTATCCCGGAGCGAAGCAGGGCGTTGAGCGCCACTTACTCTCCGTGCCTGACGACGCAGCGGTATCAGCAGAACAGCGCGCAGCATGTAGACCAACCACGTAGCAGAGCGGAGAGACGTAGTGAGGAATTATTGCGCCGCGCGGTATTGCATGCAGAGAAGAATCCGCATATCGCGCTGTTATTCGCGTAGGCAGAGCGGCGCGAAACACGACGCATGGAGGTGGCTTCTTCACGTGAGCCTAGGAAGGCTCAGTTTCCTGTTCTCATGTACCAAGTCAGTGTCATTTCGCTCCGTCTTCGCTCCCTCTCTCCTCATATCCTAGGAAGATCCCCGTCGATCCAAGGAATTTCATTCTTATCTCGTCGAAATAGTAGACAACTGCTAGGAACCCGTGAGCCTTTTGACCGTTAGTCACCGTCGATCGTGTGAGTGTTTCCGAAACTTGCCAGCGGGCGGCCCTCTTCTTACAGGCACCTCTTCTTGCGTCATGGTGGCTTCTCTTCTGTGCCGCAGCGTCCCGCCTCTTCCGCGCGCCAGCTGCAGTTCTTGGTGCGCGGCCCGTCCGCTCTTTCCCCTCCGCAGCGGGCCTTCGGGAGGCTCTTCCCGCTTCCAGCATCGGCGCTCTCCGCATCGGCGCTTCGCCCCTGCGCCGACGACGACTATGTGCCTTACGCAACCTTGCCCCGACCCCACCACGCCCGGCGTTTGGTGGCGCGACGACGCTCAGTAGCGCCGCTACCCTCTCCACCTCAAGAACTCCATCCGCCAGGCGATCTCGGGCAGGGTCTCGACACTCGATCTCGGCACTCTCACGTCGGCCGTGCATCCTAGCGGGGCGTCGTATAGCGCGGATTTGGGAGACATGGAGCAGCGAAACCTAGGGAGTGGGTATGAGCGGAAGATTAGGGTGGTTGATCTGCTGAGCGAAGCCTTGAGATTGCCGACCAAGCAAGTGAGAAACTTCGCATGGCATGATGGATTTGGCACGGAGTTTAGTGTGAAGTGAAGCGCGGAATGGACGATTAATTTATTTTTTTGCAACAGTCGGGCATGGATGAATTTGTGTTCAGCTGTCAGGCACGCTCAGTCACCCTGGCAACCACCTTCTGTTGCCATCTTTCTCCCTCTTTGTTTTTCGTCCTCTGATTGATCAACCAGCAGGCGCGGAAGCTCCCATGTATCCAACTTTGGCAACGGTCCTAAGTTCTGTTTCTTTTTTGTGTGCATTCATTTCATATATGCTTGCTTGCGTGTTTTTCTCTCTTTACTCTAATCCTTCCGTTCTCCGTGAAATTTACGTCCCCATGCTGTGTAATATCAGGTCTTTTAGCTACCGGAAGGGCCGTTCCCAACCCTCCACTGGCGCGACAGCAGTGGCAATCTCCACGAATACGATCCAGCCACGTCACTCGCCATCTTCACAGCTGCTGCTCAAGGCCTTCCCTGCGCGCAGACAGCCCCTATCGCCACGGATGCATACCCCATGGGTGTAGTGTACACTGTAGATATGAAACGCTTAGTCCAGCGTAATCCGTACACGGGCAAGGAGTTGGAGATTGTGCTGCAGTTTCCACACAACCCCTTTGAGCTGTTGAAGCTGGCGATTGGAGTCACGGGGCAAGAGCGCAAGCAGGTGGGGATTCTATTTTTTGCAAATTACTTCTGAACTGGCTTATCCCAGCTCTAATCAGCTCTATCAACCTTCTGGGGGGGGGGGGGGGGAAGGGGGAGGGTGTCTCTTTGATTCAGTTACTCAAGGCGTCACTGGATGCCTTCTGCTCAGAGGATAATGTGCAGAGGATGCTTTCAAGCAAGATGGCCCCGTACCGCATGGTTGGGAGCCGCTGAAACCCCAATCTCCTGCCGGGACGACCCATTTTCAACCAGTTTATTGATTCGATGGAGGGGGTGGTTGTTGGATGCGCGGATATGACCATAAGTACGTGAGTAGCTCGAGCCTGAAACTGATCTCAAAACGAGTTTGATCCTGCCAATTTTTTTGTCGACTCAAAAACCACCTGCCTGTACATGAGCTTCTCCAGGCCCCTGTTGGTGAGTTTTGAGTGCAGTTTTTCCTCTGCGTGCTCTGTACCACTAACCATTTTAGGCTCCGAGTCTTCCAGACTTTGCTTTGCTTTTTTTCTCCAGACTTGCACACATGCGACACTGCGATATGCTTTCTGTACGAAAGGTCTGCAATAACATGCATCAATTTTTGTTCCTTGTATGTTATTTCCCTCCAAATCCCAGACCCCATTGGTGGCAGACATATTCAAGCAAGTAGCCTGCCCATCCCTCTGGAGCTTGTATTTAATGGCACCTCTCCAGACAATATAGACTCAATTTTCGCAGAAGTCATGAGGTCCAACCGCCATTGATTTGGCTGCACTGCCAGCATCAGTAGGGAGTATGCCAAGCCAAGCCGGCGGGGTTCAGAAGCTGTGGACGGCTGGAAGTTGATTGTGTTTGTGCTGATTATGTTGCAAGCTGTAGTTGCATCTCAGTCGGATAGTGTGGTGGTGATGACCAGCGCCCAGCATGAGCTGCTTGTGTACGAGGTTACCCTCCAGGGCTAGGGAAGGGATAGGATATGAGCTAATTCATGTTGCTCATGGTTAGACTGTAGTCCATTGCCATGTGGTGCTCATTGCAGGGGGGGGCTATTGCGCTGCTAGATTGGTTGCTTGCTATGCGTTGATGAGCTGTAGCTGGATTTTTTTTGGTTTTGTTAGTGTGAATATGTGTTAGGAAGATGATACTACACATCTTATGTTTGATCCACTCTTGATTGAATGCGGCTGCAACTTGCAACGCGTATGATCAGCCATCCCAAATCCTCCATCGATCTTCTGCATCTGAGGCTTGGGAAAACCGTGGTGACTGGAGAGCGGTACATTGAGACTTGTTTGCTTTCTACTCTGATTTAAAGCGTTCTGCTTCGGTTTCAGACAAATTTTCCTGGGGATACCCGAGTCACTACGCTCCCTGAACTTCCCCCAGCACGACTCGCCCCTGGACAACATTATCGGTCTTAGGAAACAACGAGGATGGGTCTGCGCTGCATGGTAGATACCGTACAGCCCAGGTCGCCTTGACTATGGGAGTCGGCTTGAAATGAAGCACGCTGATTGGGCGATTAACCTTTGTTGGCCGTCGTCGCCGCTACTGTTCCGAATTACAAGTCCTTGGATTCGCGAGATTTTCTCCGAATCATCATGTCGAAACTCCGAGTTTTTTGTGACGTCAAGTTGCTTCTCACGCGTGCGACCACCGTGTCCCTGCTATTGCTTTTGACCATTGTAAGCCAATTCGCATTCGCATTCGCTCTCGCATTCGGATTAGCCATAGCTTCCTCAAATTTTCCCGTTTCAAGGTGTCTCGCTAAACGCCATAGCTTGCTCAATTCTCATCTTCCTGTCTCGCTGAGTACCTCGTGCTCCTGATCCTCTATCACCCTTCGATTTCTGAGTCGACGCAAAAGTCACCTTTTTGCGATGTCACCCCGCACGTTTTGAGTCGACTCAAGAGTCACCTCTTGCTCCTGATTCTCTATCACCCTTCGATTTTCTGTGCTTTTGAGGCGCCTCAAAAACGACTCAAGAGTCACCTCGTGCTCCTGATCCTCTATCACCCTTCGATTCTCTGTCGTCCGTCGGACAACCCCGTTCACCAGCAATACTCGCTCACAATACTGTCGTTCACAATACAGCCATTCACTAGGTGTGTCAGGTTCACTCCAGCACTTGGTCCTCTTCCTCTGGCCGGGACGACCTCTCCTCACTCCTCCTCGCATTCAAGCGCCCTGACTCGCTGTACGGCACCCGGGTGATGTGGATGGCGAAGAGACGAGTACATTCAATCGTGTCGATGTGTACTGTCGCCCTTACCCCCCCTCAGGTTCACATAGCACTTGGCTCATCCTCTTCCTCTGGTCGGGACGAGCTCTCCTCGCTGCTCCTCGCCTTCAAGTACCCTGACGCCCTGTGCGGCACCGGGTGGTGAAGAGACGAGCACGTTCAATGTAGTTGCATTGCGTGTCCTGCCTCCCTGTGCCCCCTCTCTCAGGTTCACACAGCGTTTGCCTCCTCCTCCTCTGCCCGGGACGACCTCTCCTCGCTCCTCCTCGCCTTCAAGTACCCTGACTCGCTGTGCGGCACGGCGTGGCGAGACGAGTACGCTCAACTGCACAGGGTGATACGACAGGCGAGCAGAGAGGCAGCGGCTAGGCGAGCAGCAGCAGCAGCGCCTGCACCAGCTGCAGCACCAGCACCATCAGTAGCGCCAGCAGCAGTAGCGGGAAAAGCAGCAGCAGCAGGTGCAGGAGCAGGGGTAGCAGCAGCAGCAGCAGGTGCAGGAGCAGGGGTAGCAGCAGCAGCAGCAGGTGCAGCTCCTGCAAACACCAGCAACAGCATCACAGCCACCTCCACCCCCCCCCCAGCCATCCGTTTCTTCACCTTCGAGTGGTTCGTCAAGTGCGGGGGGCTGGGAGACACCCTCCTAGGCCTCGCCTCCTCCTTTGTAGCCGCTGTACTCGATAGAAGAGCGCTCATTATAAACCACAAGTGCATCCCTATCGGGTTCGAATCCGCGGGGTTTATTGACTGGCTGCCATCGGATGATGTTCCCATGGAGATCCTTCGAACAGCATTGCCGAGCGAGACGGAGAATGTGACTGAGGATGGGGTTTTACGATTCGACCTGTATAATAAGTAAGTAGGAGAGGGGCATGTGCTGCGGCTGCTGCGGTCAGATGATTTTCCAATGGACATCCTTCGAACAGCATTGCCGAGCGAGTCGGAGACTGCGACTGATTCGATTCGAGGGTTTTTGCCCCTCTGAGAGTCAAGTGGAACAGTGGCCCTTTCTCACCGCTTCAGAGCAAGCGGTTTCATTTGCCCCCCCTCCCCCTCTCCCCACCCCCCACTGCCGCCTGCCCCCATTCCTCTTCCTTATCTGTGGCAGCAGCATGATGCCAATCAAGGGGTTTGCCACGTTTTCCCTTTCCAGGAACCCGCGGGCCAAGTGGAACAGGGGCCGCCTCATGCTCCTGTCCAAGAGGGCAAGGACCCCTGGGCTGATGCCTTCCGCCCTGCCCTAACCCTCGCCTCCTCCCTCCTGCCCCCCCCTCCCTATGCCAGCATGATGCCAATCGAGGATTTTGCCAAGTTCTCCTTGGCAAAGAATTGAAGGGTCAAGTGGAAAAGGGGCCGCCTTATGCACCTCTTCCAACTGGACAGCGGCCTCTGCGCTGATGCTTTCCGCCCTGCCCTCCCCCTTCTCCCGTCCTCCCTGCCCTCCCTCGCGCCCCCTCCCCTCTGCCCTCACCTGCGCCCCCTCTCCTCTGCCCCCTCCTCCCCTCCCGTGGCAGCATGATGCCAATCGAGGGCTTTGCCAAGTTCTCCCTTGCAAAGAATTTAAGGGTCAAGTGGAACAGAGGCCGACTTATACACCTCTTCCAAAAGGGGAAGGGCCCGTGGGCTGACGCCTTTCGCCAGATGGGGTTAAGGCCTCCCTACGCTGTCGGCTGCATCCTCAGGTTCCTTCTCAGGTGTGTCCTCAGGTGGGTCCTCAGGTCGGTCTTCAGGTGGGTCCTCAGGTTCTTCCTCTGGTGAATTTGGGAATGGCTCAATGCCCTTGGGTGGATTTCTTGTCCGATGGAGCTCGCAGCCTCTCTTTTTTGTTGGCTGCATGCTGCTTAGTTTCTCTTCTTTGTCTTTATATTTTCCCCTTGATTTCCCCTTTGCCCTCGGAGTTGTTGTTGTTGTTGTTGTTTTTTTTTTTTTTTTTTTTTTTTTTTTTTTTGTCTCTGCCCGCTTTTTGGCCTGTTTCTCAAGGGTTTATTCTTCCTTCATGTCCATTTCGTTTGATACCTGTGCATTTGGCAGACCTAAGCCGGAGGTTTGGGAGCAGGTTCGGGGGATACAGCGCGAGGTTCGGGGCGAAGGCATGGTGACATTTGGAGTGCACATACGAATACCGGACGAGATGGTCTGGGAGGCAGGGGAGGGGGACCCCAAGCCTCTGAACGCGACAGAAATGGCGGCGATAGAAGAGATTGCTCAGCCCATGCTGGACTGCGCCCAGGTACTTTCTTCTCTCTCTTGGGAAGGTATGGCGGGGGTGGGAAGCAGGGGAGGGGGACCCCAAGCCTCTGAACGCAACTGAAATGGCGGCGATAGAAGAGATTGTTCAGCCCATGCTGGACTGCGCCCAGGTACTTTCTTCTCTCTCTTGGGAAGGTATGGCGGGGGTGGGAAGCAGGGGAGGGGGACCCCAAGCCTCTGAACGCAACTGAAATGGCGGCGATAGAAGAGATTGTTCAGCCCATGCTGGACTGCACCCAGGTACTTTCTTCTCTCTCTTGGGAAGGTATGGCGGGGGTGGGAAGCAGGGGAGGGGGACCCCAAGCCTCTGAACGCAACTGAAATGGTGGCGATAGAAGAGATTGTTCAGCCCATGCTGGACTGCGCCCAGGTACTTCTCTTCCGCACATACAGACTCCGGATGAGATGGCGTGGGTGGTAGAGTGGGGAGGGGGACGCCAAGCCTCTGAACGCAACTGAAATGGCGGCGATAGAAGAGATTGCTGCCATCTCAGTTGCGCATTGGCCAATGCTGGAATGCGCCCAGATATGGGTTCAGGTACTTTTCTTCTGTCTTCTCTTTGGAATGGGTTCAGGTGCTTTCGTTGTTTGAATCGAATAGGGCTGGATATACCCCACCTTAGTGCACGTTCGTTGGCTCGTTGTCTCCATCTCAGCTCTTGTCTTAATACGTACGCCTATCCCATCCCATCCAATCCATTTCAACCCATCCCATCCCATCCCATCCCATCCCACCCCACCCCCATCCATTCCCATCCCATTTCAGGCCATACAAGACTGGTGGTACCCCAGCTCAGTGCAGGTTCGCTGGCTCGTTGTCTCCAACTCCGCTCACCTCAAGGCATCCCTCAAAGACAAGTACCCAGATAAGGTATTAGGGGACTATCTAGTCAACTGAGAAGTCGGTTTGCTGGCTCATGGTCTCCAACTCAGCTCAGCTCAAGGCATCCCTCAAAGACAAGTACCCAGACAGGATATCGCTCCTTGTCTCACTTGCCCACTTGACTGATGTCCCTTAGATCTCTGTCTTTCTCTCACATCCACCTATCTCACATCCACCTACCTCACATCCACCTACCTCACATCCACCTACCTCACATCCACTTACCTCACATCCACCTACCTCACATCCACCTACCTCACCCCCACCTACCTCACACACACCCTTACTCTCGCTTTCTCCCCGTTGTCAGGTTGTTATAGTTTCTCCCATTCTCCCCCGCCATTCCAACAAGTCTGTTGACACCGCAGCAGGCCTCCATTTCTCAGAAATGCTGCAGTACTCCAACTTATCCACATTCAAGGATGCAAACTAGCACTTCCTTCCCCTTCCCCGTCCATCTCCCCCCTTCCCCCCCTTCAGGTTGTCGTCTCTCCCATTCACCCCCGCCATTCCAACAAGTTTGTTGACGCAGCAGCAGGCCTCCAATTCTGGAAATGCTGCAATTTTCCAACTTAACCACATTCACTGATGCCTGTGAGCACTTCCTTTCCCTTCCCCGTCCATCTCTCCCTTTCCCCCCTCTTCAGGTTGTCGTCTCTCCCATTCTCCCCCGCCATTCCAACAAGTTCGTTGACGCAGCAGCAGGCCTGCATTTCTCTGAAATGCCAAAATATTCCAACTTGACCACTTTCAAGGATGCATACGAGCACTTCGCAGCCGAATCCTACCGGCAGCTTGTAGCAGACTGGCTGTTACTCACTATGAGCCATGTCTTTATAATACCGGAATCGGGATTTTCTCGAACTGCTGTTCTGTATTCATTTAGCACTATGAAAGTGTATGTGCCTAATGGGACGGCATGTGATCCCGAGGCTCCTGAGCACTTGACATACATGGCAGGGAGATGGAGCGGAGTGTAGATTTATTGACAAAAATCCCAAATGTCTTCGTTTCAATTAAAACGCGATCAAATACTTGCAAGCAAACATGAAAGCCCGAAGCATTACGTATCAACTTCACTTCATGGCTTGAGATGTAGCTTTGGATTTTTGGGTTGAGGGTTTCGGGCTTAGCCCAAATGCGCTCGATGCTTTGGTTACACTATCAAATGCGCTCGATGCCTTGGTTACACTATAAAATGTGCTCGATAAATCGATAAAATGTTGTGGCACCTCTCTTTGTAGTACTGATAGTTACTGTATCAGATTGTTTTTAGGGCTGTAATTTACGTCACACTACCATATTGTCAACATATAGTTGTATGTGTTATTGGCTAGATAGGTGCATGCTCATAGAGGGTATAGCACCATAGCACAAAACCTTCATGTATAACACAATCTAGTTCATTGCGTTATTCTAACATGGTATCACGCTAGGTTAGGTCCCCCTCCCCGCCTACGCTTCCGCCCCTAGCCTTAGCCCTAGCTTTAGACCGCGCCCTAGCCCGCGCCCTAGCCCGCCCCCCGTACCGCCGCGCTGGCCCCGTCCCGCCGCGCCGGCCCCGCTAGACCGCGCCGGCCTCATCAAGCCGCGCCGGCCTCATCAAGCCGCGCCGGCCCGTCACTCTGCCCCGGCCCCGTCTAGCCGCGCCGGCCCCGCTAGACCGCGCCGGCCCCGTCATGCCGCGCCGGCCCCGTCACGCTGCACAGGCCCCGTTACGCCACGCCGGCCCCATCACGTCGCGCCGGTCCCGCTAGACCGCGCCGGACCCGTCCCACCGCGCCGGCCCTACTAGACCGCGCCGGCCCCGTCACGCCGCGCCGGCCCTGCCATACGGCGCTGCGCCGAGCTGCCGAGCCGCTGCGCCACGCCGCCGAGCCGCTGCGCCGCCGAGCCGCCGAGCCGCCGAGCCGCCGAGTAGCCGAGCCGCCGAGTAGCCGAGCTGCCGAGTCGCCGAGCCGCCGTGCTGTTGTGCCGCCCCAACCCGCGGGCCTTGGTTCCCCCTTCTGCGCCGACGCTCCCGCCGGCCGTCTCCACCGCTGCTCTCCACCGCCCTCTCGTCCTCCTCCCTTAGCGGCGGTCAGCTGCTGCAGCCGTGGCGATGGCGGACATTGTGCTCCGCCTGGACGCGGAGGGTCGGGCGATCAACTTTGAGGCGTGGCTCGCCGACCTCCGCCGCTTGTTGAGGGGATAGCGCCATGATGGCCAGTCTTTGACCGTTCACGTCGACAGTAAGATCCCCTGCCCCGACCCGCCTGCTGCCCTCTTTGACGCCCCCACGCCCGCTGAGCGTGAGGTCTTTGCAGCTGCCGAGCTCGCTCGCTCCGTCTGGGAGTCGCGTGACGCAGTTGCGCAGCTTGCTATCAGTCGCTCCCTCCCCCTGTCTGACCGCCCCCACTGCCAGGCCCTAGAGACTACGCAGGCGTACTTAAATGTTGTTATTGCACGCTATTCTACTCCCTCGTCCGCCTCTGCCAGTCGTCTCCCCCCCCCCCTGCTCTTCCCTGACCTTGCATCTTTTCCCACTGTCGCTGATCTCGCCACTCACTTACGCGCACTAGAGACCAGCTACTGCACTGCTAGTACTCAGACTCAGCTCCTTGTACTGCCTCCCCCCATCGGCGCTACCCTCTACTTCCTTGCCATGCACCTTCCTAATCGCCTAGCCACTACCCGCGACCACTTCCTTGCCCTCCACACTGCAGACCTCACCCTCACTGACTTTGTCACTATCCTTACCGCGATCGAGACCCGCCAGCACACCATCGCTCAGTCGAGCGGTACTGCGGCGATCCATATCTTCTAGGGCTGTGCTCCCTCCCAGTGCACTTACTCTGAGGTCTTTGCCGTTGTTGCTGAGACGGCCCCTGCTGCTTAGACCGCTACGGCGGCCTCAGCGTAGTCTCATCAGGGTAGGGGATGCCGGGCCCGGGGGGGGCATGGCGGCGCGAGGGGTGGCGGGGGTGGCAGGGGTGGCGGAGGTGGCGGAGCTGGTGGAGGGGACGGTGGTGCAGATGAGGAGATCGGGGCTGGTGCCCCGGCGCAGCACCCTCATCAGCAGCAGCAGCAGTAGCCTTAGCAGCAGCAGCAGCCGTCGCAGCAGCAGCAGTCGCCGTGGGCGCCCCCGCCACCGTGGTGACTAGCGGTCCTGGTGGTAGTGGGGGGCGCAGCTTGGTGTCGGGTGCCGGCTCCAGTGTGGTCACCTGCCAGTACCAGCTTCAGTCCGGCTCCCACCGCGGCCCCGTCTGTGACGGCCCCGGTCACACTGCCGCACGCTGCTACCGCCGCCTCAACGACCTCTTCCGTCCCCGCTTCGGCCCCACGGCGGACCCCCCTGAGTGGTACAGCCTGGTGCGTCGTTGTGTACCTATCTTTGAGATGGACATGGATTAGATTAGGTCTGCTTTGTATGCCATGTATACTGATGACTCTAGTGTGATTGGGCCATATTACCCGGTGTTACCTAGCGTAGGTGTGTCCCCAGTGTGTCGTCTAGATTCCCCTGCTGCATCAGGCGTAGGACCCGCTGCCTTATTTAGCCTAGGCTCCACGCTAGCCACTCCGCCGGCGGACGCTACTGCTTCGCTCTCCTTCACGCCCGACTCTGGAGCGTCTTCCTGTTTCTTCCGTGACCACACTTCGCTCACGCCGCTTGCCGCCCCTGCCCCTATCGCGCTTGCTGACCCCTCCTCAGGTCCGGTAGTTGCCCGTAGCTCCACCACCCTTCCCCGTCCGGCGGTCCCCTCGGGTTCTCTTACACGTCTGCACATCCCCTCGTTGTCAAGGAACCTAGTTGGTGTCGGCTAACTTCAGGACCTCGGCGTCACCACTACGTTCCCTGGTCACGAGCGGTTCGCGGTCTGTACCGAGGCCGCCTCTGGTGCTCCTCTGACCACGTTCCCCCGGGACCCTGTGTCTGGCCTGTTTACACTTGACACTGCGTCCCCCGAGGTGCCTGCGTCGACCCAGGTCACTGCGGCTTGCTCGTGTCGGTCGCTCACTCACCCGTCGCTGCTGTGGCATCACCGCCTAGGTCACCTCACACTCCCGCGTCTATGTCACATGACCCATTACGGTCTTGACTTCGGTCTCCCTGTGTCGCTCCCTGCCCTTCCTTCCTCGGCTGCGCCGCAGTGCATGCCTTGCGTCGGGGGTCGGCTGCGTCGTGCTCCTCACTCCTCCTCGCTCCCCCCTACCATTGCGCCACTCTAGACCCTGCACCTAGATGATTGGGGCCCAGCCCTCGTCCCTGGGCCGCGTCGCGAGCGCTACCTTCTAGTGCTTGTCGACAACTAAACGCGCTAGACCACAGTGTTTTCCCTGGAGCGGAAGGCTAACGTGCCTGACATTCTTATCCCGTGGGTCGTAGCTGCGCAAGTCCACCGCGGCCTCCCTGTTCTGCGTCTCCACTCCGACCGTGGCGGTAAGTTCGCCTCCGGTCGGCTTGGCCAGTTCTGTCGTGCGAAGGGCATCACCCAGTCGTACACCCTGCCGGACTCCCCGCAGCAGAATGGGGTCGCTGAGCGACGCATCGGTTTGGTCATGGAGGTGGCTCATACCTCCATAATCTATGCCGGTGCACCTGATATTCTGAGGCCGTTCGCAATTCGCTACGCCGCTCACCACCTTAACCTGTTGCCGCACTCCCAGCGGCCGCTGGTTTCGCCGACCCTTCTCTGGACCGGGTTCCCTGGTGACGCGTCTGCGTTCCACGTCTGGAGTTGCCTTGCTCACGTTCGTGCCTCTGGCACGGACTGTCGCTGCCGTCCCTGACTTTGCCTCTACCCGCCGCCTTGACTACGCCACCGCTCTGATCTCTGACCCTGCCCGTCCTCCGTCTGTCGGGGGTGCTCATGCCCTCGACAGTGACGTCCTGGAGGACCGGCAGTACGAGCTTGCTTTCTTGTCCGAGGCCACGCCTCATCTCTTCTCCATGCTGCTAGTCCCTGAGGGTGACCTAGACACCTTTGACATCCCGACCCCTCGCACTTACGCTGAGGCGACCTCAGGCCCCTTGGCCTCTCAGTGGATAGCTGCCATGGGCACGGAGATGGCATCTTGGAGATCCACCGGCACCTACGTCGACGCAGTTCCCCCACCTGGGGTGAACGAGGTCGATGGCTGAAGGCTCTTCAAGGTGAAGCGTCCTCCTAGAGAGCCGCCGGCATTCAAGGCGCGCTACGGTGCTAGAGGCTTCAGTCAGCGCGAGGGTGTTGACTTCTTTCACACCTTCGTCGCGGCCCTCAAAAAGACCACTTTTCGGGCGCTGCTACACGTAGCAGCACAGCGTGACTACGAGCTGCACTCTCTAGACTTCTCCACAGCGTTTCTCCAGGGCAGTCTGCATGAGCAGACCTACCTGCGCCGTCCGCCGGGGTTCACCGGCACCTTCGCCCCTGGGACCGAGTGGCTCCTCCGGCGCCCAGTTTACGGCCTGCAGCAGGCGCCCCGTGAGTGGCACGATACGTTGCGTGCTACGTTAGCTGACTTAGAGTTCTTCCCGTCATCTGCAGACCCTTCACTCTTCGTCCGTTCAGGACAGACCCCGTTCTACATCCTTGTCTACATAAACGACCTGGTCTTTGCTACTACAGTTAGAGAGGCTCTGGCCTCGGTGAAGGCTGAGCTGCTGAGGAGACACACCTGCACTGACCTAGGAGAGCTGAGCAGCTACCTTTGGCTGCAGATCTCCAGGGACTGCGCAGCGCGCACCATCACTCTCACACAGTCACAGTTGGTGCGCCAGGTTCTTCAGAGGTTCGGTCTTCAGTTCTCCTCCACGCAGCCCATACCTCTGTCAGTAGATTACAGGCTCTTGGCTCTAGTCCCGGAGGAGTCAGTATAGCCTAATGGTCCATATGCAGAGCTGGTGGGTTGCCTCATGTACCTGATGACTTGCACTCGTCCAGATCTCGCATACCCTCTCAGCATCCTGGCTCGCTTGTGGCCACAGGCAGACACCGACCACACAGTAGTCGGCCGCTAAGAGGGTTTTGCGTTATCTGGCAAGTACATCGGGCATGGGGCTAGTGCTAGGGGGACGCTGGCCAGTGGTCCTGAGAGGGCACACAGACGCTTCGTGGGCCGACGACGCAGAGATGCTGAGGTCCTCTTAGGGCTAGTGCTTTAGCCTTGGTGCAGGCGGTGTCTCGTGGAGGTCCACCCGCTCGTCGTCTGTAGCACAGTCTAGCTGCGAGGCTGAGATCTACGCAGGTCCCATGGCGGCACAGGAGCTCCGCTGGCTGACGTTCCTGCTCACAGACTTAGGTGAGCGGCCTAGCTCTGCCCTGGTCCTGCACGCTGACAACAGGGCCATGATCCTCCTGTGTCAGGAGCCTCGACTAGGGGGCAGAGTGAAGCACATCCAGCTGCGGTACTTCCTCCTGCGCGAGCTGCAGCAGCGGCGCCAGGCCCACGTAGTTCACTTGGCCTCCGATGCCAACACAACTGGTATCTGTACGAAGGCGCTTGCGCCTAAAGATCATCAGCGGCACTGTGTACAGCTTGGTCTAGTTCCAGTAGGTCCTCAATTGCTAGGACCTTGATTGTGTAGTACTCTTATTATATTCTCCTGACTGGCCTTGTGGCTTTTGCTCTAGTGGCCGGACTAGAAGTGCCGCCCTAGTTTGCTCTTGTCTTGTTTGTACTCTTCTGCCTGGTCTTCAGACCCTTGCATTAGAGGTTGGACTAGTAGTGCCGCCCTGAGCTGCGTGTCTCTTGCCAGGCACCGCCCCTTGTCTAGCCTTGGGGGTGTGTCAACATGTAGTTGTATATGTTATAGGTTAGATAGGTGCATGCTCAAAGTGGGTACAGCACCATAGCACAAAACCATCCTGAATGGCACAATCTAGTTCATTGCGTTATTCTAACACATACCCACAGCTGTTACATTCTGCAGCAGCAGGCCAAAATCATACATTTTTCCACAAACCACCACATCGCGTAAGGTGTGTGCTAATGAAATCTCTGATATCAAAACAGCCCAGCCTGTAACGCATTCAATGGGATCTTCCCCAGGGCATGGCAGGTAGACTTCACACTCAGAAGGATGAAGATTATCCCTGGCTGTGATTTCACGACGCAGCTGTACCGGTAGCTCTGGATAAGATCCCTCAGGCAGTCATAATGGGGGGCAGACTAACGGCCGAGGAAGGAGGACTTGAGCATCAACCGCTCGATGCCATCTGCCCTCTAGAACAATTCAACTGAACTGGGAAGCGTGGTTCTTAGGGTTTCATAAAGGACGCCAGCTGCCCTCAGGCGGTCATAATGAGAGGCAGGCTTCGGCCGAGGAAGAAGGACTTGAGCATCAACCGCTCGATGCCATCTGGCGACCACTGATAGGTCGGGATGTCTGCTATGATCTCCCTGACGAGAGGAAGGAGGGGGGGGGGGTTGGAGAGGAGAGAGAACAGAGGAATGACTTCTGAGTCGACTGGGTAAACGGCCGCAGATAGCAATGCCCAGCCCACCATGGTTTCCCTGAAGCTGGGGGGGGAGTGGGGGAGAGGTGCAGAGGCGAGGAGCAGAGGTGAGAGGTGGGGAGAGGAGAGGTGGAGAGAGGAGAGGAATGCTCACCTGTGTGGTGAGTGTGAGGAACTCGAGGTACGCGTTCTTGAGCGTGCATGCCAACTGGAGTTCTTCTTCCTCTGTTAGTCGTTGATCACAATCCGCCTGTTGTGCCCATTCCCAGAAACTCAAGCACTCGCCTGTTGTGCCCATTCCCAGAAACTCAAGCACTCGCCTGTTGTGCCCATTCCCAGAAACTCAAGCACTCGCCTGTTGTGCCCATTCCCAGAAACTCAAGCACTCGCCTGATGTGCCCATTCCCAGAAACTCAAGCACTCGCCTGTTGTGCCCATTCCCAGAAACTCAAGCACTCGCCTGTTGTGCCCATTCCCAGAAACTCAAGCACTCGCCTGTTGTGCCCATTCCCAGAAACTCAAGCACTCGCCTGTTGTGCCCATTCCCAGAAACTCAAGCTCGCCTGTTGTGCCCATTCCCAGAAACTCAAGCACTCGCCTGTTCTGCCCATCCCTGTGGTTTAAGCACGCACCTGTGGGGCTACCAGCACTCACCTGTGCGGTGTGAGGAACTCCAGGTATGCGTTCTTGAGAGTGCGAGCAAAGCGCAGTCTTGTCTTCTTCCTCTGTGAGTCGCTGGTCACAATCCACCTGTTCTGCTCCAGAGCCACCTCCTCGAAGGCCGAGTTGAACTTCTTCAGCCTGAGGAAAGAGGGGGGGGTGGGTTTTGAGGAGTCAAGACAGGTCAATGCAAGTCAACACAAGTCAACGGAGGTCAATCAGAATTGACTGCCTGTTGACTGGCTCAAGAGTCGCTGATCACGATCCTCCTGTTCTGCTCCAGAGCCACCTTCTCAAAGGCCGAGTTGAACTTCTTCAGCCTGGAAGAGAAAGGGGGTCAACACAGGTCAATGCACGTCAACTCAAGTCAACACAGAGTGAACTGCCTGCTCAGCCGGCTCAACAGTCCCTCGTTCCGATGCATCTGTTCTGCTCCAGAGCCAAGTCGAACATTTTCAGCCTGGGAGAGAAGGGAGTCAACACAGGTCAATGCACGTCAACTCAAGTCAAGTAAAACACATCAATAACTGTATGTACGTCTCAGAAGTAAGGCGCTTCAAATCTACCTCTTCTGCTCCAGAGCCGCCTCCTCAAAGGCCAAGGTGATATGTTTTTTCCCAGCCAGAGAGAAGGGGAGCCAAAGTCAACACATTGACTTGCGTTGACTTGCATTGACTTGCATTGACTTGCATTGACTTGCATTGCCATACTGACCTTGTCTTGACAGCATCAGCGCTCAGCTTGGCAGATATCTCCTCGGGCGCCAAACACGCCATGAGCTGAAGGGACGGATGGAGGGAGGGAGGGAGGGAGGGAGGGAGGGAGGGAGGGAGGGAGGGAGGGAGGGAGGGAGGGAGGGAGGGAACAGGAATGGGAGGGGGAAAGGATAGCTATTTTTGGCAGTTTTTTACGTGAGGAGTCTATTTTTGAGGCGCCTCCAAAATAGACTCCTCATGAACCGGCATGGGAGGGGGGAAAGGAAAGCTATTTTTGGCAGTTTTTTTCTGGTGTGGGGTGTTGGAGGGAGTGCCATTTGTGGTGCGTTTCTGCAGACTCCAAACATGACACGGGCAACGAGCACTTTTGTAATGAGTCCAAACATGAGACGGGCAACGAGCACTTGTGTAATGAGTCCAAACATGACACGGGCAACGAGCACTTGTGTAATGAGTCCAAACATGACACGGGCAACGAGCACTTGTGTAATGAGTCCAAACATGACACGGGTCAACGAGCACTTGTGTAATGAGTCCAAACATGACACGGGCAACGAGCACTTGTGTAATGAGTCCAAACATGAGACGGGCAACGAGCACTTGTGTAATGAGTCCAAACATGAGACGGGCAACGAGCACTTGTGTAATGAGTCCAAACATGAGACGGGCAACGAGCACTTGTGTAATGAGTCCAAACATGACACGGGCAACGAGCACTTGTGTAATGAGTCCAAACATGACACGGGCAATGAGCACTTGTGTAATGAGTCCAAACATGACACAGGCAACGAGCACTTGTGTAATGAGTCCAAACATGACACGGGCAACGAGCGCTTTCTGTGGAGTGGGTGTTGAGAAGCAGTGAACCCACAGAAGAAGTGAGCCCACAGAAGCAGCCACAAAAGCTGTTCTCTAAGCAGCTTCAATATTAATCAAGCAGCCTGCATATTTGACACACCTTCCAACTACAAGCTCACTCACCTTTGCAAGTGCTGCCATATCAAAGGCTGCCTCACAGGCAGTAATGCCCCACTGGGGCGGCCTGTATATTCCAGACACAGCACAACCCCACTCGCCTTCGCAAGCCCTGCCATATCAAAGGCTGCTTTTGAGTCGACTCAAAAGAATGCTGCTTTTGAGTCGACTCAAAAGCCGGGGCGGCCCGTATATTGGAGACACAGCACAACCCCACTCACCTTCGCAAGCCCTGCCTTATCAAAGGCTGCCTCGTAAGCAGCAATTTTGTCCTGCTGCTTCATCGCGTCTTTCATCCTCGTCGCAACGCTGGTGGGGGGGGGGGGGGACGGGGAACGGGGAAGATATTGGGGCAACAAGGGGCGTATTGGACTGCAGGCTTTCTTTCAGTGGCTGCCTCACAGGCTGCAACCCGGTCCTGCAGCTTCATTGCGTCTTTCATCCTTGTCGCAACGCTGGAGGGGGAGAGAGCAAAGGGGGTGTGAGTATAGTGGGAGGAATGGGAGTATCACCACCGGGTGAAACAACAGCGGAACACAGGCACAGGGGAAATATCTCTCTTGCTCCCTCTTCAGTGAACTTCGAGTGTGTCCTGCTGCCCCTTAAAGCCCTTCACCCTCCCTGGACTCACATGTCCCTCCACTCACTCACATCACATGTCCCATATATGCACACCCCGTCCATTCTCCTCCCCCCCCCGCCCATCCTACTCACATGCTGCCAGCCACGTAGTGCACATTGTTCATCAAAGACAGCGCCCCCATAGCGGCATCCTGCACGGTCCGCCCCCGTGCCTCCATGTTGAACTGCAGCGACTCCAGCAGCATCTCCATCTCCCCTCACACCCCTACAAAAATGGAAACACATGACCCCTATACTCACATGCTGCCAGCCACGTAGTGCGCATTGTTCATCACAAACAGCGCCCCCATAGCGGCGTCCTGCACGGTCCGCCCCCGCGCCTCCATGTTGAACAGCAGCGACTCCAGCAGCCCCTCCATCTCCGACGCCAGCTGGCGCCTGCCGCCCGCACCCGGGTGCTGCAACTGCTGCTGCTGCTGTTGCTGCTGCTGGCTTCCTTGATTCCCCTGACTAGCTTTACTCCCCCCTCCTCCCGTCCTGCTCCCCCCACTGTTCCCCCCACTGCTCCCCCCACTGGCCCCCCCACTGCTCCCCCCGCTGTCCCCGGCCCGTTCCCTGAAACTCCCCCCTCCCACAGTCGCCAGCCCTATGAGCCTCTTGTCCGCGGCGTGCCTCTTATAGACCATCTCCAGGGTGCCATAGTGGTCGGCGCGGCTCTCCCGGTCCATGAGCTGGGCGATGTAGTTGATCACGTAGCTCGTCACTTTGTGCACCCCGATGTCCACCTCCTCCTCGTTTGTGTTCTTTTGCTCCGAGGACTTCCAGTGAATCAGCCTGTAAGGGGTACGGGCAAGGTGAGGCATGGGGGGAAGAAACAGATGGTATGAGACTGTAAAACGCGTTATGGACTCCACACCTGAAAGGTCTCAATTTTACAGCGAGCAACCAGCAGCACCGTTGGAACTTGGAAGGCACAAAGGCAAGCTATATCTCACAATGCGTTCTTCTTTCACCTCAAGATCACCTCTCACCTGAGCAGCTTTTGCTTCATGGGCGAGGTCCCCGACCCCTGGTTGGCCGGCACAAAGGCCGCCACGTCCCTTGGAATGCGGTTGAGTTCGTCCAGTGTGCCAAAGATGGCTGCTCACTCTTACCCCAGGGGCTTCTCACCTGCCTCGTGGGCTTCTCACCTGCCTCGTGGGCTTCTCACCTGCCTCGTGGGCTTCTCACCTGCCTCGTGGGCTTCTCACCTGCCTCGTGGGCTACTCACCTGCCCCCTGCCTCTCACCTGAGCAGCTTTTTCTTCATGGGCGAGCTGCCACTCCCCTGGTTGGCGGGCACAAACGCCGACACGTCCCTCAAGGTGCGGTTGAGTTCGACCAGGGTGCCAAAGACTGCTTCTCTCTTACCCCGGGGGCTACTCACCTGCCTCCTGCCTCTCACCTGAGGAGTTTCTTCTTCATGGGCGAGCTGCCACTCCCCTGGTTGGCAGGCACAAACGCCGACACGTCCCTCAAGGTGCCGTTGAGTTCGACCAGGGTGCCAAAGACTGCTTCTCTCTTACCCCGGGGGCTACTCCCCTGCCTCCTGCCTCACCTGAGGAGTTTCTTCTTCATGGGCGAGCTGCCACTCCCCTGGTTGGCAGGCACAAACGCCGACACGTCCCTCAAGGTGCCGTTGAGTTCCTCCAGGGTGCCAAAGACTGCTTCTCTCTTACCCCAGGGGCTACTCACCTGCCTCCTGCCTCTCACCTGAGGAGTTTCTTCTTCATGGGCGAGCTGCCACTCCCCTGGTTGGCCGGCACAAAGGCAGCCACGTCCCTCAAGATGCGGTTAAGCTCGTCCAGTGTGGCAAAGATGGCACCTGCAAAGAGCTGTGACAATCGCTGCCAGAGCTTGAAGGGGTCGTCTGAGTCGGACTTGGGGAGGGCGTGGAAGACAGGGAGGGCCTGGGGGGGTTGCGAGTGGGCAAGGAGTAGAGGTGGGGAGTGGGGGAGGGAGAGAGTGCGGGAGAGTTGAAGGTGGCCCCTGCAAAGAGCTGCAAGAGGCGCTGTGCTGCCAGAGCTTGAAGGGGTCATCTGAGTCCGACTTGGGGAGGGCGTAGAAGACAGGGAAGGCCTGCAGGGAAGGAGGGAGGGAGGAAGTGGGGGGGAGGAGGGGGGAACAGAGTAGGCTTTAGCGATGGTGAGGCTTCTTACAGCCAGATAAACTCCTGAAACAGGTTGACACCTCTCGTAACTCACTCACCTGCGGGAAGAGTCAGCAATGCTGCGGTATGCCTCCAATGATCGTTACCACCTGTAACAAAATTACCAGCTCAAGTGTTGTGTGACATTGTAACCAAGTGACTTTTGAGTCGACTCAAAAGTCACCATGCTGCGGTATGCCTCCAATCACCGTTACCACCTGTAACAAAATTACCACCTCACATTACATGGTCAGCGGGTTAGCGGGTCAGCGGGTCAGCGGGTCAGCAGGTCAGCGGGTCAGAGGGTCAGAGGGTCAGTGGGTCAGCGGGTTAGCGGGTCAGTGGGTCAGCAGGGTAGTGGGTCAGCGGTGAGCGGGTGAGCGGGTGAGCTTGTTAGCGGGTTAGTGGGTCAGCGGGTCAGCGGGTGAGCAGGTTAGCAGGTTAGCGGGTTAGCGGGTCAGCCGGTCAGCGGGTGAGCAGGTTAGCAGGTTAGCGGGTTAGCGGGTCAGCCGGTCAGCGGGTGAGCGGGTTACCTACCGTCTGTGGTATCAGTGGCACATCGCACTCGATCAAGCTTGCCTGGGGAGAGAGGTCAGCAATGGTCAATATGCCTCCAGCAAAGCGAATATCTTCTCAGGGGAGCTCTTGGAAGCAGCGATAGCCGCAGTTTTGGCACACAGCACAGACAGGGTTACCTGTATTCACCTGTCCCACACGTTGAACCAAGCTTACCTGTGGTGAGAGGTCAGCAATGGTGTGGTAAGCCTCTAAGAGAGCAAAGGCTTTCTCAAGCAGCTATGGCCGCAGCATTGGCGCACAGGACAGACAGGGTCACCTGAGATGAGGGGTCAGCTGGTTATCACCTGTAACAGGGTTACCGGCTTTCCTTACCTGGGGAGAGAGGTCAGCAATGGTGCGGTATGCTTCCAGCAGCGCGAATATCTTCTCAGGGGAGCTCTTAGAGGCAGCAATTGCTGCAGCGTTGGCGCACAGCACACACAGGGTCGAGCGCACGCCGCCCACCGACCCCACTAGCTGCCGAAACACGCTGTCCGGACTCATCAAGTGCTCCCCTGGTTTCCGAGAAACCTGCTCTGCGCCCTTGCTGCTGCACCGAGGCATGCTCTGAGATGCGCTCTGAGGCATGCTTTGAGGCATGCTTTGAGGCATGCTTTGAGGCATGCTTTGAGGCATGCTTTGAGGCATGCTTTGAGGCATGCTTTGAGGCATGCTTTGAGGCATGCAGTCGGTTCCCTTGAGCATCTCAGGAGCAGGCTCAGGAGTGTCGCCAGGCGTTTGCGTTGTGTGGTCAGGATGTGAGAGGAGGTCGGATCCAAGGCCAGGGACGGTTGAGATTGAAGGGTTGGCGGGCGCAGCGTTGGCGGTGGTGGTGACAGCAGTGGTAACAGCAGTGGTAACAGCAGTGGTAACGGCAGTGGTAACAGCAGTGCTGTTGCTGCTGCTGGCGGTTAGAGAGGTGTCGAGAACGCCCTTGATCAGCTGGTGCTCACTGAAAAAGAGAACACGCAACTGGTGGGGGGGGGGGGGGGGAAGCAAGGGAACCAAAGCAAGGGAGCCAAAGCAAGGGAGCCAAGGGAGGGTGAGGGAAGGGATAGATGTGGAGAGAACGGGAAGAAGAGAGGGTAGAACGCCATTGATCAGCAGGTGCTCGCTGAAGAAGAGCACATGTAATTGAGGAGGGTACAGTTGGGGGTGGGAGAGTGGAGGGGGCCGGGAGGAAGGGGGAAGATATTAAGGCAGGAAGCAATAAAACCGCAAAGAACACGCAACTAAGGAGGGCACAGTTGGGGGTGGGAGAGTGGAGGGGCCGGGAGGAAGGGGGAAGATATTAAGGCAGGAAGTAATAAAAGGGAGAGAACGCGCAATTGGGAAAGTGGACAGGGCGGGAGAGTGGACAGGGCGGGAGAGTGGACAGGGCGGGAGAGTGGACAGGGCGGGGAGGACAATTGGGAAAGGGGGGGTGGGGGGGCCAAGCACTTGACGATTGCTCTTAGACGGATCGCACCTTTCATGCCATGCCATACCATATCATGCCATGCCACGCCATGCCATGCCACGCCATGCCATGCCATGCCATGCCACGCCATGCCATGCCACGCCATGCCATGCCACGCCATGCCATGCCATGCATTCTCCATCCACGCACACTATGGACAAGCATGCCGCCACGGCGCAGGGTTGAGCAAAATACCCAGGCGGGGCGGGTACCCGGACCCGGATCCGCTTTTAGGGCGGGTCGGGTATCAGGATTCCCGAATATTACCCCGGCTGGTCGGGGGTCCAGGTTACCCGGGCGGGTATTCGATACCAGTTACCCGAAATGTTACCCGACATGTCGGGTAACGGGTACCCGACCCGCCGGGTATTGAATACCCAACTTCGGGTACCGCCCCTCTCATGCTGGAAAAAACGCTACCCGACCCAGTTTAGGTTGTTATTTAAAGGCCACGCTGTTGACGCCCACCCCGGGGGGCCACCATGACAGACACACCAATGGCAACAGAGGGTAAGACAGAGGTTGTTCAGGCATTTTTTCATGGGCGGGTAGCAATACCCGCTTTTAGCCTTAAACGGGTCGGGTATACCCGGATCCGCCTGGCGGGTGTTATATAACCCGCCACTAAGGGCCGGATCCGGGTAATGGTCCTGGGGGTATTACCCGACCCAAACCCGACCCGATTTCGGGTATGGCAAAACCGGGTCGGGACGGGTTAGACATGGGCAGCATGCCGAGCCTGGCTCGACTCGGCTCGACTCGACTCGCCTTTTTGGCGAGTCGAGCCAGGTTTTTTTTTTGGCCGGCTCGCCCCGAGTCGAGCCGGGTCGAGCCGGTCGAGCCGCGCGGCTCGACTCGACTCGTCGCGAATTTCAGGGCGAGCCGAAGTCGAGCCGGCTCGACTTTGGCTCGACTTTGGCTCGACTCCCGAAGCGCGCGGCTCGCCCGTGGGGGGTCAAAATTCGACCCCCCTGGAAGTTGACAATCCATTCTAGGTTTTCGCCATCAAGCCTAAGCCTACATCTGAGCTATTTCGCCACCCTAGCTTGCCCTCTCTCCACCAACACCGCTACTTTATTTTTTTTTCGACTACCTTTTGGTGTTGTAGGAAGGATGTAAGGGCTTAAGGACCTTGACGTGCAGAACATTTACAGCGATCTAGCAAGATCTTTTCAAAACATGCAGAAGAAACCCTTTTGGCGAGTCGAGCCGAGCCGAGCCAAAGTCGAGCCGACCCTTGGCTCGACCCTGAACCCCCGAGTCGAGCCAACCATTTTGGGGCAGCCGGCTCGGGTTGAGCCGAGTCGGCTCGGCTCGACTTTTGCCTGGCTTGAGTTCGAGTCGAGCCGAGTCGAGCCAGGCTCGGCATGCTGCCCATGTCTAGGACGGGTGTTTACCCGGTTTTGCTCATCCCTACGCCACGCCATCCTCATAGCATACATACCATCCACGCCTGACCCTCACCAGAATGCTGATGTCTCGAATCCACAGCTTGATCAACGGCTCTAGGTCCGCCCATGCCATGGCCTGCACCTCCTCTGTGGAATACTCCTTCATGCTCACACTCTCCACGCCACTCACCACCGTTGCTCGCCTTGCCAGGCTGCAAGCAAGAGAGGAATAAGGGGGGGGTTCAAGGGGAATTAAGGGAGGGGCTATAGTCTAGGCATGCCGAGCATCTGCTCGCTTGTATACTCCCTCATGCTCACCCTCTCCACAGAACTTGTCATCGTTGCCTGCCTCGCCTTGCTGCACGGGGAAGTAAGGGGTTTCCTAGGGCATAAAGGGAGGGGTTATTTATAGGCATGCCGTGCCACGCACTCTCTTGTATACTCCCTCATGCTCACACTCTCCACTGCACCCGTCACCATTTCCTGAATTTACTCATCTTTTAGATGATCCTTTGGGTGCTTTGCTCCACAACACAGGAAAGTAAGGGGGTTCCAGGGGCATAAAGAGCGGGGTTATAGGCATGCCGTGCCACCTCCTCAGTTGAACACTCCCTCGTGGTCACACTCCCGACTCCACTCACTAGTGTCTGCTTTTGAGGCATCTCAAAATAAACTTTTGAGTCAACTCAAAGGCCATGCGCCTCTCCTCAGCCATGCGCCGTGGCACATGGTACATGGCACGTGGCATGGCACGTGGCACATGGCACATGGCATGGCACGTGGCACGTGGCCCATGAAATTCATCCCATGCACTCACCAGTTCAGAGCAGCAAAGTGCTACTTCCCTCTAGCTCGAATTATAAACAGCTGTGCCTCTGCCTCGGGTAGCCAATCCGCCCACTAGCCCGCTCCCGCATGCCTCACGGCACATCGCATCGCACATCTACCCCACATCCACCCCACATCCACCCCACATCCACCCCACATCCACCCCACATCCACCCACCCCAGATCCACCCCACATCCGCCCCACATCCGCCCCACATCCACCCCACATCCACCCCACATCCACCCCACATCCACCCCACATCCGCCCCACAGATCTCACCAGTACACAGCTGCCAAGTGCTGCTTCCCTCTCGCCCTGATGATCACAGCAGCTGCCCTGTTCAGCCATGGCACCTCTGCCACGGGTAGCCAATCCGCCCACTCGCCCACTGCCTGCAGCTCCTTGCATACAGCTGCTCCTCCTGCTACCGGTCCTGCTCCTGCTGCCCCTGCTGCTGCGCCTGCTGCTGCAACCTTTTGAGTCACCTCAACAGACACCTTGCCTGCTACTGCTCCCTTCTCCAGCCCAACTTCGACCCCACCACCAGAACCAGCAGCCGCAATCGCACGAGCAGCAGTTACAGCCACTGCCCCGGTCTCTGACTGTTCCCCTTCGCTGCTTTCTACTACTCCTGCTGCTGCTACTCCTGTCGCTCCTGTTTCCGCTCCTCTTACTACTTCAGTGGCTGTTCCCCCTGCTGTTACTACTGTGTCTGTGGCTAAGCCAGCTTCGCCAGGAGCAGTACCAGCAGCAGCGCCAGCCCCAGCAGCGCCAGCAGCACTGGCACCAGCAGCAGCAACAGCAGCAGCAGCGGCGCTGGCTGGAGCTGTTCCAAAAGTGGGTGTGACAATAACGGTGGGAGTAGACCCAGAGGCATCAGAGTAAACCTGGGGGATGGTGATTCTAGGGAGGGGAGTGGTGGCTTCTGCACTAGCAGAGGCAGCGGCGGAGCGAGGGAGGGAGAAGGATTCAGAAGGTGAGAGTCCAAACTTGTTCTCTTGAGCGTGGAACGACGAGGAATGCTGCAGTGTAGGCTGGATGGCAGAGCGAGATTTCATCACACCACCTCCTGAAGCCATACCACCACTAGCCCCACCATCATCACCAGCACCATCCTCACCATTCCCACCGTCCCCACCTCCCCCACCACCGCCGCCACCAGAAGCGCCTACCCCCCCTGTTCCTGCCACATCCGACCCAATAAACAGGCTCTCTAGCGGCCCACTCACAGCAGCAATGCTGCTGCTGCTGGTGTTGGTGCTGCTGCTGGCAGTAGCCGTGAGCACCGCATCCGACAGCGTTGATGCAGGGGTCGAACACCCCATAGGGGACAATACGGAGGAAGAACCAGTTCCCCCACTCGCCCCCGCTCCGCCCCCACTCACACCACCAGCACCACCAGCGCCCAGCGCACCAGCTTCCGAACCTGTCCCCGAGGCTCGGCTCGAGCCTAGCGGCGAGGAGGCTCGGGCAGAGAGGGACGCGTTATACTCTATAAGCATCGGATCGTCAAAGAGAAACTGGCTGGCCGCCCTACCATGCTGCTTGTTCGCAGGAGAGGAAGGAGATGGGGGGGGTCGCGCACCCGAAGGAGTAAATTTCCCTCCATTCCCCTCCTCCCCCTTGCCTCCTCCTAACCCCTTGGAAAACAGATTACCTGTAACGGAAAAGGAACCTCCCCGGCGGTTTCCTGCCCCCGCCCCAAACCCTCCCCCACCAGCACCCCCCCCTGCCCCCCCTCCCGCTCCTCGGGCTCTTGGGCTGGGGAGAATCGCGAGGTTTTGCATGTGCAACGCGGCTTTAAGTATGTGGAGATTAAGCTTTCTATTGGATTTCGATAAGACGGTCTTAAATTCTTGCTCGAGCCGGTCTAGGGCTTGAGACAGCGGGGTTTCAAGGCGAGAGAGGAGGATTTGGATCTCGCGTAGGGAGTCTTCTGCAGTTTGACTTGTTTGTCTGGCGGCACCAGTTTGACCAGTCCGGCCAGTTTGACCCGACTGGCTGGCTTCCCCCATTTGCCCGCTTTCCTGTTCATCTAGAGAAAGTTGCTCTTCGAGCTGTTGCCATGGGGACGCCACTGCTGAAGCCGGTGCGGAAGCAGATGCTGAATCAGATGTAGGCCCCAATGCTGCTGCTGCGGCTGCTCCGCCTCCTTCTCTCCCTCTCTCATCACTCACTCCCACTCCCCCTTCCGCTCCCCCTTCCGCTCCCCCTTCCGCTCCTAACATACCCTCTACTGCCCCCCCCTCCGCCCCCCCAACTGCCCCAACCACTGCCATTCCCGCTGCAGCAGCCGCACGACCTGCTGCTTTGGACGGCGCCCCCTCGGTTCCCCCCCCCTCGTGCTGCTCCTTCCCTTCGTCTGCACGCGCTGTTTGGAGCTTCCCTTGGAGGTCCAGCAGGCGCGAGACGGCAGGGAGGAAGGAATCTGCCTGCCGCTTGGGGTGCAGCGACAAGGGCGGCAGTAGCTGGGTAGGGTGGGGAGGGGGAAAGGGGAAGGGCGGAAGGGGCGAAAGGGGGGGGGAAGGGGGTAAAAGGGGGGGGGAGAAGGGGGAGAGGACAACAAACAGGGAAGAGAAGGAGGATTCAGCCCGACGCTTATGCTGGAGAGACAAGTTCGGCAGTAGCTGCTTAGGGTTGGAGGGGGGAGGGGAGAGGGGATAGGGGACGAACGAAGGGGGGGAGGGAAACTTTTACGACGGCAACAAACAGAGAAGAGAAGGAGGAGTCAGCTTTGGGCTTAGGCTGGTAGCTCAAGCTCGGCAGCAGCTGCTTAGGTTTGGGGAAGGGGGGGGAGAGGGGGGGGAAAGGGGGCAGGAAGGGGTGGAGGGAAAAAGTTGTTCTGTAATAGCTGGTTAGGGTTCGAAGGGAGGGGGGCGGGGGCGGGGAGGAGGGGGCAAGAAGAGGTGGATGAAAAGTAGTTCTTCCGTAGCTGCTCTCGAGCCAACTCAAAAGCAGACTCATTACACGCGGATTAAAAGTAGTTTTACCGTAGCTTGTTAGGGTTGGAAGGTGAGGGAGGGCGTCGAGAAGGAAGGAGGGGGGAGTGTGGTGTAGAATGGAGGCTTGAGGGGGGATGGAAAGACAGGGGACTGGAGAGAGGAAAAGCGATACGGGCAGAGAGACGGATACGGGCGTTAAAGCCGTGTCCTTACACACTCTTTCATCTGCATGCCTTTAACCTTTGAAATTACTAAAAAAAAAAAACTACCCGCTCACCTCCGAAAAGCAAGCGTTGGCATAACGCAAGAGCTCCTCGTGGCTACCGTTGCTACCGCTGCTGCCGCCACCGCCGGAGCCGCCGACGCTGACGCCGACGCAGCTGCTACTGTTGGCGTGTCTCGAATCGGGAAGAAAACCTGCTACTGAATTTCCGACGTTCTCGCCAGAAGCGGCTCCTGAAACCCTAATCTCCTGGCTGCTGTCGGCTTTTCTGCCATCCATCACAGGAGCCGTTCCTGGCCGTTGAATTTCCGTTGCCTGATCGTCGCCGTCCGCACCGCGATCTGACGCAAAAGAGGTGTTGCACGATGCGAAACGACAGCTGGCAATGTTGCGGTCGTCTAGGGTCATGGTTTCGCTAGCAGTCGCGAAAGTAGCGACATTAGCGACAGCTGATGATGTTGCGGTCGTCTAGGGTCATGGCTGACAACGACGAAATTAGCGACATTAACGACGGCGGCGAGAGTGGCGAAAGTGGTAACTAGATGAAAAGCAGGAGAGAATGGGTACGATGGCTTCTCGAACTGACGGGTATAGGCAGCATCGACTACCTAAATGCAACAGGTCGATCTGACTACAGTACTCTCGGTGAGCATATGTCTAGTACCCGCTATAAACCACCTGAACGCATGTAGTTGCTTTGCCCTAAAACGAAGTGCGATAACTTGTGCCGTGAAGGCTCAAGGGAGCAATGCGGGAACAAATTTCCGAAACTAACTATCTCAAATAAGCAGGAGGTCACTTTTTGTCAAGAATACTATCTTGCACTTGCTTACTTGCATATGGGCCAAACGGCTGAAAGCTGTGTGCTTGAATACAGCTCTAAGGGTAGAAGTAACAGCGTCCTAAAACTTAACTAGACGTCCCTGGATTCACCACGCCTGCTTTTCCGTCTACCCTGTTTCACGTCGACTCGTCTTCACTAGCTACACGACGCCATTGCACCAACTTTGTTAGGTCGTGTCCTAGTGGAGCAATGTTGTTGTGCTGGTGATGTGTGAAATTATGAGGTCTCTATAGTCTCTCCTCCCACCCAACCCAAGTGTTTTCCGTCTATACCTACCAAACCGTTTTACGGAGTAGTTTGATCCGTCCGAAACGCAATCCACCTCACTCAACCGATTTCGACGTACGCTTAGGACACGCTGTGACAGACAGACTGCTATTTTATGGCGCGAAACCAATATCTGGGGGACGTGGGACAAGAGGAGGAGAACCTACAGTAACTGAACTGTAGAGGATAAATTGAACTGTAGCGGTCTACCTTGCATTGGTTTGGCTGCCCTTTCTGCTCAAAATGCAGACCTCTGTGTATCACAGAGAGGTACAAAGAGATCCACTTTGTTTCAGAGTGTATACATCGGAGTACGGTCTGCTTTGCGACGCATTTCGCCGAAATTTGTCAGATTTTTCCTCCTGACTGCGCTTCCCATTTCTGCTCTCGCGATTGCCGCTTTGTCAGACCTGCGTCTGTGCCTGGTGCAGAGGCAGCGCACGCATTGTGGTTGCTCTGCGGGGCACCAAGTGGTTTTGTGCATGCTGTAACGGCTAGGGAGGCGCAGGAAGTCATGCCCGCGCGGAGAGTCTGACGCACGTGCTGCGGCGCTCACTCATCTGGCATCTACAAGTGGAACCTGTGGGGAAAAATGGACCGACTTGGCATGACTTCACAAAGCTGAGAGCGTGTCCAGCGCGTTCATTTCGCCCTAGCACGCACTTTTTACGTCTTCTGTACATGTTCGAAGAATTGTTACAGGGAATGTAGATGTCGCGAGGATCACCTTTCGACCACAGAGAGCATGCTTGGCTCGGCCTTGTGTCCAGCCTTTAACACGACAGGTGCTCTGGCAGCGAAAAACAAATGAGCTTGGCGAGATCAGCAGAGTTACGGTATTACGAGCCTGGAAAACCAGGCCTCGCTGTTTTTGCCACGGCATGGACGAATCTGCCCGAACGTGACGAAGTCGTGTGCTTACTTTTCGCCAGCAATGATTTGTCGTTTCTGACGGGCGTTAATTTCGGACACGATTTCCAGCCGCTTTCGAAACGTGCGCAGCACGACCGCTGGCACGCTTCGAGAGCGTCCGCTAAGTACGTGCACTTTTCGAGCAGGTCCTAAAAAATACAGAGTCTCGGGTTACCACACCTAAATTCTATACTTTTGCGCCAACTGAATAGTATAAGAACGCGCTAGACACACCCTAAGGGCGTGTGAGTTTGGGAAGCCTCCAGTACCAACTTCTAGAGCGGTAAAATACACTTTTGGTAGGTTTCAGGCGATTAGAATCGCGGTACAGAGTGGTGACGGTACGAGCTTTCGACAAACTTGTAAAAACTCACACGCCCTAAGTTTCGTTACTGCTGACTACGATTTAGCGACAAAGGCCAAGCACGGAGCAAATGCGCCAGCGGAGAAATACATCACTTAAAGCCCCCGTCTCATAATTCTAGGATCCGACCAAGCGTAAAATGCTTGGTACCCAGTTACGCTGGCGAATATGAAGAGACAGGCAAGGAAGTGCCTCGGACAGTGTGTTTCTTGCTGGGGGGCGAGACCAATTGTAAAACCAGCAGTGAAATATGAGAATGAGCAAGTTCACGGAAGAATGGGGACGTTGGACCGTTCGATCTTCTAGAAGTTCAGATCCGACAGTTCAGCGAGTGTATAACTAAATCTACCGCTGTAAACGAAGTGGAATTTGGCTGTGCAGGAAAATTGGTTTCTGCACCGTCCGATGTAAAACGAACCTCCAGACTGATGTGCAAAACCTATCGCGAGCCACCCTTCCCCAAACCTGTTTTTGGTTCGGGTGTTTTACCGAAACAAAATGGTCTCGCCACTTGCGTTTCGTTTTCGTCATTTTTTTTTACCTCGCCTACCAATCAGAGTTTGCCTGCTCCAACCAAGTGTAAAACTCTAGTAATTATGAGACGGGGGCTTTAACAACCAGCTTTCAAGTGGCATTACCTTTATGGCTAAGAACAAGTAGGGCAAGAACAATCTAACGCATATGAGAACACACACATCTTTGTTGCATATATCTGTTAGCAGTGAGCTTATGTTGATGCACAAATCTGTTCGCAAAAAACACACAACTCTCCTTATGGTAAATGCAACATGGCTTGGCATCGGTATGATGGGAATAGCATGCAATGCAACTTTGGGGTACTCGATATCCTTGCATTCACGCTAATCCTGATGTCCTTCAACCGTGGGCACCACCTCAGCAGCTCTATAAGCAGCACAATTTATGCCCTAGAATCTTATTTATTCATGCCTCGTCAAGAGCTGCAACGCCAGGAAGCACCTTGCCCTCGAGCAGCTCCAATGACGCGCCGCCACCTGTCGAAATATGGCTCATCTTCTCAGCCAATCCTGCCTTCTCCACCGCCGCCACACTATCACCACCGCCAATGATGGTTGTGGCGCCCCCTGCTGTCACCTCAGCAAGCTTTAGTGCAATGGCCTGGTAGCAGGAAGGACAAGGACAGCACACACATGATAGACAAGCGGGGAGTGACATGAATGGGTGGGAGGGGAGAATGGGTTTGTCTGGTCAGAGGCCTGGCTTCCCCACTGCTGCCACGCTCTCACCACCACCAATGATGGATGTGGCACCCCCTGCTGTCACCAACCCCTACTTCTCAAACCCTAAGACGTCCATGGGGCCATTCCAGGTGATGGCGTTGGGCGTTGGCGCCACCGAGCCCTGCTGAAACGGCCCTACTGCTTGCACTGCCACTTGCTCAAGTGCCATACGGCATCACTCACATCAAAGCCATGGGCATTTCTCATGGGGCCGTTCCAGAAAAAGGTCTTGGCGCCACTGAGCTCTGATGGAAATGTGCTACGGCTTGCAACCGCCACTTGTACAAATACTACATTCGTTAGGATTACTCACGTCGGTACCCATGGCTGACTTCTCCATTTCAAAGACGCCTATGGGCCTGTTCCAGATGATGGTCTTGGCGTCATTCTGCACCCATGCAATGTCTCAAGGCGTACAAGCATACCAAAGAAAGAAAGAAAAAAAAGTCCCGCTACTTACATCGGTGCCCCGGGCGAACTTCTCCATTTCAAAGACGCCCATGGGGCCGTTCCAGATGATGGTCTTGGCGTCTTGCAGCTCTGAGGAGAACGCTGCGATGGTTTCAGGGCCGATGTCCAGACCCATCCAACCATCTGGGATATCCGCTGCCTTAACCACCTGGAATTTTGGAGGGGCGCGAGGAGAGGAAGGGGCCAAAGGGGGGAAAGAGGGAGGGGGGGGGGGGGGGGGTACATCACTGCTGAGAACTCTGTGACGCTGTCAGGGCCGATGTCCAAAACATCCAACCATCGGGGATGTCTTATGCCTTCACCACCTGGAGATGAGGAGGGGCGCGAGGAGAGGAGGGGGCCAAAGGGGGGAAAAGGGGAGAGGGAGGGAAGGGAGGGGGCCAAATCACTGCTGAGAACTCTGCGATGCTGTCAGCGCCAATATCCAGACTCATCCAGACGTCCGAGGCACAGAGGCAGCAGCAGCAGTAGCTACCCGCTTCGGGCCCTTCAATCCCCTTCCTTCCCTTTCGTCTGCTTCTCGTCCCCTTTCTTTCATCCATCCCCCACGATGTTAGAAGGCAGGACCATCAGCCTAAACCCCTTCGCCTCTTCAATTTCCTACGACTCATTCCAGTTAGCCCTTATGTATTTAGAGTCGACTCAAAATATACCTCGACTAATTCCAGTCCTTTTCAATGCCCTCAGCCCTTAGCCCTTACCCGCATGCTGTCTGTCTCACCTTGCTGTTGGCATCAGTGGTCTAGTAAGTTAGTTTTGGCCCCACCTTGCTGTTGGCGTCCGCGGCGAATTTGCCAGCGACTATGCGGTTAGCCCCTAGCAAATCACCCTGCTGTCGGCATCATTGGCGAACTTGTCAGCGATTACGACGTCAGAGGGCAGCAGGAACTTGACGCCCTTCTCCTTGGCTTTCTGGATGAGGCTCGCCGCCAGCTCGATCTCATACTCCTCGATCTCATCCTCCACTTTCACCCCCTTGGCCGTTCGACCCTGCCCATAAACCACATCGCTCAACCCAGTCCCCCTGTGCTGCGGGTGCGGTTAGCCCCTGGCAACTCACCTTGCTGTTGGCATCATTGTCGAATTTGTCAGCGATGACGACGTCAGTGGGCAGCAGGAGCTTGACGCTCTTCTCCTGCGCCTTCTGGATGAGGCTCGCCGCCAGCTCGATCTTGTCCGCCTCGACCAGAGACGACCCCGTAGCCAGGCCCTGGGCCTTGTAGAACGTGAAGATCATGCCGCCGCCCAGCAGGAGAGCATCGCACCTATCGAGGGGAGGGGAAAGGGGAAGAGATAGGGGGGAATAGGGAGAGGATGAGAAAGACACCGCGTCGCCAGGCCCTGGGCCTTGTAGAACGAGAAGATCATCCCGCCACCCAGAAGGCGAGCGTCGCACCTGGGAGGAGGAAGAGGAGGAAGCGGAAGGGAACGGGGAAATGGGGAGAGGATGAGAGGGACACCCCGTCGCCAGGCCCTGCGCGCGGTAGAACGTGGAGGTCATGCCACTGCCTACAAGGAGAGCATCGCACCTATCGAGGGAAAAGGGAGGGGGGGAGGGGGGGGATAATCTTGGCGTTAGACTGGGAGGATGATCCCGCCCAGGATTGCCACCAGCGGCCTTCGTGCCCCTCCATAATCGTTCTGAACATCCCCGATCTGTCTTGGATGACTTACCCATATGAACCTACTCAACCCAGATGGCCACCCGCGGTGGCCACCTCGAGTTGCCCGCGCAATGACACCAGAGCTCATCTCCCAACGAGGGAAAATGTTTGACCTGCTTGTTAAGGAGCGACTCCAGCACGCCGATCTTGGTGGACACCCTGGATCCACTCACCCACGGTGGCCACCAGCGACCTTGAAACAGAATCCGAAATCACCTTGGGACGGCTCAAACGGCACCAGACATATCAGAGGTCGCCACCTACTTGTTAAGAAGCGACTCCAGCACGCCGATCTTGGTGGACACCTTGGATCCGCCCACGATGGCCACCAGCGGCCGCTTGGGCTCGGAGATGGCTCCGACCAAATAGTCCAGCTCCTGAGGAAGGCAATAACGAGTACACATATCAGAGAAGCAGCAGTTAGTGAGAGAAAAACAAGGCAAAATATTCAGCACAATAACCATTGTTCGAAAACGGTGATTTCATGTGACACGGACGTTTGCTGAGAGATTCTGGCAGAGCATAAACTTCCGCAAATTTCCAGGTCCTTGATCACTTTAGCTGTAAAGAAATGAAGGCTGTGAACAATGTAAAACTGCTGTGGACACAGGGAAATGAAGCAACGCGCTAGGGTCTAACACTCGGATCCACCTCTCGAAAGGAGGAGAAGAGGAAACTTACCTTTTGAAGGAGGAATCCGGCAACGGACGGCTTCAGGAACTTGGTCACCCCCTCCGTCGACGCGTGCGCCCTATGCGCCGTGCCGAACGCGTCGTTGACGTACAAGTCCGCGTTCTCCGCGAGCTTCTGCGCGAACTCGGCGACGTTCTTCTCCTCCTCCGGGTGGAATCGGACGTTCTCGAGGAGCAGCACCTCGCCCTCCTTGAGATCCGCGACGGCCGTCTTAACGGCCTCGCCGATGCAGTCATCCACCTTCTTCACCTGCAGGATCAAATGTAGGGAGGAAAGGGGCAGCACCAAGTTGCAGCATGAACTCGGCGACGTTCTTCTCCTCCTCCGGGTGGAATCGGACGTTCTCGAGCAGCAGCACCTCGCCCTCCTTCAGATCCGCAACGGCCGTCTCAACGGCCTCATGCAGTCATCCACCTTCTTCACCTGCAGGCATGGGGCAGCACAAAGGTAGAGGTGCCTGGGAGGCATTCTCGAGGCGTAGCACCTCGCCCTCCTTGAGATCCGCAACGGCCTTCACCACGGCCTCGCCGATGAAGTCGTCCACCTTCTTCGCCTGCAGGCATGGGGCAGCACAAAGGTGTGAGGTGTTGCCATAAGGGAGACGATCTCGAGGAGAAGCACCTCGCCCTCCTTCAGGTCCGTGACGGCCTTTTCTGCAACCTCTACGATGCAGTCGTCCACCTTGTTCACCTGCAGGGAAGCAGTGGACGGGAAAAAATCATACGGACAAGAAAGATAAATCAAACAAAAGAAGAAAGAGTTGTCCGATGCAGACATCAAGTATATTCACCAGCTACCGTTGCACGAATGCCTGACTCTAATCAGCGTTACAGAACCGGCTGGTAGCAGGAACCAGAAGTCGGAGCAGGAACTTATGAAAAAGGAATGTCTAGAGCAAGAATAGCAGGCTTAAGCTGACCGAACGTCCTTCGGGAAAAGAGATCTGACGATGACTGGTACAGAACAGTGCGTGGAATCGAGAAAAGCTCGTGTCCAAAAACATCATGATGGAACAAAGAACATCACGGTAATAAATAACATGATGATACAATGAGCATAAATGCAAACAAGACGAACCTCCTGGCCGAGAAGCTCTGAGAGCCGGGGAACGAGCGGTGTGAGGCGGTACTTCTCGGTGACGCCCTTGGGACGGCCCTGAAAAGAGCAGATGCAGAAAGACGCGACGACATGAGGACATGCGTTACGTTTTGTTAGCCATCATCATACGACCCGAGGGCCGAAAAGAAAAAAGGACGGTTGCCTTGCCACAGATCCAGTGGCATAAATTCAGACGTCAAAGATCCGAGGAAAAACGCAATCACAGCTGCATCATGGTGCATTCAGGCTCACACTGTGAATGGTTTTCTGAACCTCACCAAGAGGCTTGCAAGGAGGACCTTAGCATCCTTGACCACCAGGTACTTGATGATGGGAATGGCAGCGTTGGTGCCTCAATGTTGAGTAAAAAAAATCTTGAGACTCACCAAGTGGCTCGCTAGAAGGACCTTCGCACCCTTGTCCAACAGGTACTTGATGGTGGGAATGGCAGCGCGAATGCGCGTGTCATCAGTGATCACCGCGCCAGCCAGAGGAACGTTCAGATCAGCCCTGACGAAGACACGCTTCCCCTTGAGGTCGGCCTCGGTCAACGAGCTAACGCTCTTCTTAGCCATGGCTGACTGAGTTTGGTAAAAATACGGTCGAAGAAGAGTCTTCCTGAAAGATTAGTTGGCCGGAGACTAGAAGCAGGGAAGTGTGATAGAAAGTGGAATCTGGAAATGGCTGATGGAAATGGCTGATACGGAAAATGGGGGAGGAAGTGGGAGATTGTGGAGAAATGGCTGTCAGGAGAATCTGGGTAGTGTATGGATGGTGGAGATCCAAATTCTTCGCGAAATAGTACAGTAACACGATTCCGGCTGAATTCGCCGTAGCACATGTGCTTTCGACAAGTCGCTGGAATGAAGTGGTGTGTTACCAGATTCGCCACTGGGCTGTGGTGCCGCTTTCTGGGTGGACGAATGTGCTGATTGGCCGGAGATTCAGGAGGCGGGCTCCAGCTTTGCAGGAACTTCGCTGTCGCTGATGGCGAAATGCCATAGCAGCTCTCGTGGAATGTCCAGCATGGCACTCACTGGTGCCAGCAGGGCAAGAATCTCTCGTTACAGCATTTCTTCCAGAAGCTGGGTATCTGGCGGGAACATGCCAGGGAAGTTTGTCTCCACAACGACAATACACTGTACCCTAACTCTTAGGAAAGATCGCTTATGTACAAGATGTGAAATCAACATTCTCACCACCAATCTGGCAAATACCTTATCATAAGGCATGTGGAATGGATGTGAGACGGACATCACCACCAAATTAGGGTGGACATAACAAGTAGACAATAACCTTGTACAAAGCAATCAAGATTCTGATACCTAAGAGTTCCTCATAGTGAAAGCCTGTGTGCAGACACGTTGAGCCAATGTTCAAAGTTCGGTAGTTGAAAAATGTTCATGTAGTGTATCACCCACTTTCAGGTAACGTAAAACATCAGCCAAATAATGGCCAGAATTCAACATCTCTACGCAGCTTGCTGGAGCCTGGAGGTTGCGTTGTGCCGTTGATTACACGTTCTCAATGACAACAAGCCAAGGCAACTCCTTGCCCTCCAGCAACTCCAATGACACGCCGCCACCTGTCGAAATGTGGCTGATCTTGTCTTTCACTAATGCGGCTTCCGCTAGTGCCACACATTCATCGTCGGCAATAATGGTTGTCACACCCTTGGCTATCATCTCTCCAACCTGCGTTGCAACGGCTTGAAAAAGGGAGAATGGGAGATGAGAGAGGATCAATGAAACGCCTATGGGGACATTCCATGATCCATATGATTATCTTAAAGCCATCCGATATATGTACAAACGCTTGAATGCATACTTACTGGTACACTAATGCAAATGAGTCCCTGGCACCAGGGTACCTACTGGCCTTGCTGCTTACATAAGACCCTTGAGCGAATTTTGGCATCTTATGGATGCCCATGGGGCCGGTCCATAGAATGGTCTTTACGCCGCGCAGAGCATTTATGTACATTTTAATGGCAGCAGTGCCGATGTCCATACCCATCCAATCTGGGATGTTGGATGCAAAAACCACCTGGGTTGTGGAGAAGAGAGGGGAATGGGGGAGGAGGGGTGTGCGTGGGGGGGTACATCACTGCTGAGAACTGTTCAATGCATTCAGGGCCGATGTCCACCATGCCCTTGAGTGATTTTGGCATCTCATGGATGCCCATGGGGCCGATTCATTGAATGGTCTTGGCGACGCGCAGAGCGCATGAGTACATGCTGATGGTATCAGGGTCGATGTCCGTACCCATCCAGCCATATACAAAGTTGTATGCAGATTGCACATAGAGTTTTGGAGAGTAGAGAGGAATGGGGACGGAGGGGGAGGGAGACAATAACGTAGAGATACGAGCAGAGAGGGGGGATGATGGTCTTAGAGCCTCGCGGCACCCTTCTTAGAATGCCTTGATGCCATCAGGACCCAACTCTCTCAACAGACTTTAGCCATGCGAGGATGGCAGGGCCAAAGATGGCACCGGCAGTAGGACACCCTTCTCTTCTTGCGAATTTACAAGCAAACCTGCACCATGTCTCCTTTCGAAGTTATCTGTGATAATAGCATCCATGAATAGCATAAGAAGCAGCAGCTGGACGCCCTTCTCCTCTCGTGCCTTTACAAGCGAACCTACACCCTCTCTCATTTCGAATTTCAGTAATAACAGCATCCGTGAATAGCATCAAGAGCAGCAGCAGCAGCACACCTTTCTCCTTCCCATTCAGGGCGAATTTTGAGGCGCCTAAAAAAATGGACGCACCCTACTCTCTGCATTCGTGTCAAAAGCAGTAGCGACAACCATGGCAGAGGGCAGCAACACACCCACGCCTTTTTGCTTTGCATTCTGTTCAAAACTGGTCACCAGTTCGTCCTGGCCTGACTTCGCAAGAGACGACCCTATCGAGAGCCCCTGGGCGCTGAAAAACGTGTAGACCAGGCTGCCGCCGAGCAGCACGGTGTCACACCTGGGAGGGGGCGAGGCGGGAAGGGGAGAGGGGGAGGGAGGGCGGCATTCCGTAAAAAATCAATAGCAATAACCACGTCGAAGGCAGCAGCACGTGCACGCCTTTATTCCTTTGCCTTCTGGGCGAAATTGGCCGCCAGTTCGACAGGGCTAGACTCCACCAGTGACGACGCTATCGAGAGCCCCTGGATACTGAAGAATGTGTGGATCAGGCCGCCACCCAGCAGCACGGTGTCACACCTAGAAGGAAGCGGGAGGGGAGGGAAGGAGGAGGGGAGAGGGTTAGGGAGGCCCTTGGATGTGAGCTCCCCCTAAGATATGAGCCCCTGGGCGCTGAAGAACGTGTAGATCAGGCTGCTGCCCAGCAGCACGGTATCACACCTGGGAGGAAGGCGGGGGTGTTGGGAAGAAGGAGGAGGGGAGGCGGAGGGGAGGCGGAAGGGGGAGGAGGAAAGGACAGGGTAAGGGAGGCCCTAGGATGTGAGCCCCTGGGCACTGAAGAACGTGTAGATCAGGCTGCCGCCCAGCAGCACGGTGAATACTTCTAAGGCCAATAAAGGCACCAAAGAGACATCAGTGACAGCCACCTACTTGTTAAGAAGAGCCTCCAGCACTGCGAGCTTGCTGGACAGGTTGGGTCCGCCCACGATGGCCACGAACGGACGCTGGGGCTCCGAGATAGCTCCAACCTCAAAGCTCAAATCCTGCAAAAGGGCAAGTGAACAGACCAGGGAAGGGATATGGCGGTTTATGCTTTCGAGTCGATTCGAAATCCGCAGCACACGGTGGTTGCGAACGGTTGCTTGGGCTCCGAGAGAGAGAGCTCCAAATGAAAGTTCAGCTCCCGAGGAAGGCAATAACGGGTATACAGGTTAAGGCTAGCTTGGAGCTGGCCACGATGGCCACAAACGGACGCTGGGGCTCTGAGATAGCTCCAACCAGAAAGCTCGGCTCCTGCAAAAGGTAAGTTCACAGTTCAGAGATCAGGATAGGGAAGTGGTGGTTTATGCGAGGGGATAGGGAAGAAAACTCGGATAAAGAAAATAAAATGGCCACAAAGGGATAGGGGAATAACAAAGACGTGCAATGTGTTTGGTGAATTCTTAAAAACACCGTGCAACAAACCTAACGAGACAAACGAACAGTAAGTGGGTTATGCACTTCCATGGTTATAGAAGGTTGAGGCTTTTTCTATAAAGAAATGAAGGCTGTGAACAAACCCATGCCAAACCAACGCCTTTGAACAGGGAAGACTGCAACCCATCCACCTGTGGGTTGTGCGAGCGCATCATTGATGTACATATCCGTGCGGTTTCTAGGCATGCTATTGAGTCAACTCAAAAGCAGGCTCGGTGCGTCGTGCCGAGCGCATCATTGATGCACATATCCGTGCGATTTCTGGGCATTATCTTACCTTCTTTTGAGGCACCTCAAAAGCAGCCCATGCGTCTGTGCGGCGTGTCGCGCAGTTTGTGGGCATTATCAACCCGGCCGCGCAGTTTCTGGGCATTATCGTACCTTCGCCAGCAGGACACCAGCAACGGACGGCTTGATGAACTTGGTCACGCCCTCGGTCGACGCGTGCGCTTCGTGCGTCGTACTGAGCGCATCGTTGACGTACAAATCCACGTTGTCAGTGAGCTTCTGGGCGAAACCAAGGTCGTTTTGCTCCTCTTCGGAATAGAAATGGAGATTCTCAAGCAGCAGCACCTCGCCATTCCTCAGATCCCCCACGACCATCTTAGCATCCGTGGCGGCCTCGCCGCGTTGCCGCGGCGACTTCGACGCATAGCCATGGCGGCCTCGCCGCGCTGCCGCGACAGCCTTGTCGTGCTGCCGTGATGTCGTCATGCTGCCGCGGTGGCTTCGATGCACCAGCGCTCGGATGGCCACGGCCAGCGCACGTTTTTAGCGCTGGCCAGCTCGCCCGCACGCCAGCCAGCGCCGCGCTAGTCACGGCGCCTCGCTGAAGACTCGCTCCCCCCCTCCCCGCTGCAGCTGGGAGTGTTGAAGTATACTCGACTGAGTTTACTTATGCATTCCTGATATAATATTTAGACTCTACTAGTAGCACGATACCTCATATGGAAGGACGCGCGTAATGACATCAGCAGTAGTGAGTCAACGCGCGAACAGTAGGTTTGCGCGTATAGTCACCCGAAGGGTCACGCCACTCTCAGTCATACGAAGAGTGACTAGTCATGTCACATGAATAGTCGCGTCGCGTTAGTCGACGAACAAGTACATTCCAAATAGGTACTTCATAGATTATAAGTATGTTTGTATTACTCATTATTATCATCCTTGTCATTTCAGACAATTTTAATACAAGATGTAAAGTCTTTCGCTGAAATTTTAATCGTGGTTCCACCAACTCTAGATCCTGGCCACTCTAAACAAGTGGTTCATTTCTACATTACAAAAACAAGTTCAGGAATCATGAACTTGATAGCCAACCAATGTAGATTCTGGCTTTAACTATTTTTAAGTCCGCAATCTGAGGTATCCAGCTGCATTCGAGTGAGGTGAGTGATAGGAGGACGGCAAAAGAGGTGGAAAGGTTCACCTGTCGGGTGGTTAGTGGCGATTGGACTTCAAGATCGTTCAAGATTCCTGCACCAATCAGAAGGCGAACCTCGGTGCTGTCTCTTTCACTACGCGAAAGTGGCGAGTACGAACAACAAAATAGTTTTTGAAACAAATCTAAACACGCCTACCCAAGTTTTAGTGCAGCACAGTACAGAACATGTACACCTTACCCCGTGTCGCATTCACGAGCCGCATCCTCCTATTTCTCCAAAATGGCATGTCGAAGAAATCTGCACAAGGAGAGCCCAAAATTTCGAATTCCCCCTCTGACTGGGAGAAAATGATGCGCCCCGATTCCCTGACCGTGTGGTGCTGTCCCCCATTCCAGTGGATAGCTGCACGTGCGAGGGACCAGAGTGTTTTCCCTGGCCCATGCCATTCCACTCACTTGCAAACAGGGGGGAGTAAGGTAGAGGAGAGAAGGTGGGATGAGGTGTTTCAGCAACTGACCACGGCATGGCTCGTGCTTCGTCCGACGCGTTCGATTCGAGCTCCGTCAGGTCCAGTGGCCACCGCTCTTGAGGCGCCTCGATACCACCGACATAGTGCAAGCAAATACTCGCGAAGCTGACTGACAAAGACGGTACTACAGCACACGGGGGGACACGGGGCTGGCTGGACCGCACTGCCCTGGGCGATATACCTTTCCCAAGTCGCACCTTGGAGCCCCCGAATCGCTGACTGGCAGGTTCACATAGTTGCCGTGCGTCTCTCTCTCCCCATACAGTATTTCCCTTCACAGCCCCGCTGTTTAGATCGCCATGAGTCCGCTGCCGCGTGCCATGCCATGCCGTACCGCGCACAAATTGATGGATGGATGCGCCAGTGGGTGGGCACCGACCCAGCATCCTGCTGAGTCAGCACCGACCCAGCATAAAGAATGAACTTGTGGTGTGGCTCGCACAGATTGATGGAGTCAGCACAGCCTCTGCTGAGTATCGGATGTCCGTCCTCTAGCCTTCGCCTACCTCGTCCTGCTGCCTTTATCTCCATGGCATTCGCAGACAGAGTATGTGAATAAGGGTTATGCAAAGACCATCGACATACGGATCTGTAGTACGGATTTAAAGCCCGCTTAGAGTGCTCGCACGTCAGCGCGATTCGATCACGTACCATTCGGTTCGCCCACAATCCCGTCGTCTTCGTTAGGCTCAAACTACATTGTTAAAGTAAAATTCAAGAAGTCTTACCACCAATTCCCAATCGTGTTTTTTACTGAGGGTGTGCGGGGCACGTGACCATGTCGCCAGGACGCCGAGCCGTTAGAGGCAACTCAGAAGTGAGCATCCCGAGGCGCACTTTATTCTGCTCAGCATTCCCTGTAGCTATGCTAACTCTGTTTATTCTCTTCTCGAGCCTTACACTCGTTTCGGCCAGCTCCGATCCGTTTGAAGTTTACACAGTACCTGTTTCGGAAGTTGGCGGCATCCCTGATATAAGCAGCTCTTCCGTGTATAACGTCGCTCGACGCGAAAATCTTGAGGTTGTGAACACGTCGTCAATCTTCAATTTCTGCTGGCGCGACACGTACACGCGGAAATCCCGAGGCAAGAAGGGGTTATCGAAATGCGCGATGAACCAGCAGAACGTTATGGGCAATTGCATGCCCAAGTGCAAGGCGGGATACCGGCCTGCCGGTTCGCTATGCGTACATGATTGTAGCGCGTACGGCGGGAAGTGGACGAATTGCGGCATGGGCTGTGCGCCGAGCAAGGAGGAGTGCGCGAAAAACGTTTATAATCAGGTATGTCGAGCGAGCATAGAACCGAAAACTCTCTCGAAATTTCTGAAAAACCTTCCTTGCTTCGCGCACTTCGCTCACTTCGCGCACTTCGCGCACTTCGCTCACTTCGCTCACTTCGCTCACTTCGCCCACTTCGCCCACTCTGCCCCGCCTCATCCCCTTCCCCTCCGGTCCACTCCACTTTTCCGCCTTTCGCTTCCATGCGATTCGCTGCTTTGTCGCACGACGACGGCTGTGTGGATCGCCAACGTCGTCGTCCCTCTCTCCCCTTCTTTTCTTCCACACCCCTCCCCTCCCTCCTCCTCCCCCCTCCTCCCTCCTCCTCCTCCTCCTCCTCCTCCCCCTTCCCCCCCCCCAACACCCTTCGCGAACCTTCTTGTCGCACGACAGCTTCTAGCTGCGACGGCGACGGCGACGGCGACGGCGACGGCGACGGCAATCGGATCGCCGACGTCGTCGTCCCATCTTCCCAAACCCTGATCGCCTTCCTCCTTCTCCCCAATATCCTTCTCCTCCCCTCTTCCGCCCTCCTTCCGCCCCCTCCCCTCCCCCCCCCCTCTTCCCGCCCCCCTCGTCTCTCTGTGTCGCAACCCTGATCGCCTTCCTCCTTCTCCCCGATATCCAACTCCCCTCCACTCATTCCCCCCAGTTTTGAGGCGCCTCAAAACTCTTCTCCCCGATATCCAACTCCCCTCCACTCATTCCCCCCAGTTTTGAGGCGCCTCAAAACTCTTCTCCCCGATATCCAACTCCCCTCCACTCATTCCCCCCATCTTCCGCCCCCCTCCCCTCTCTGTGTCGCACAACAGCTGACGACGACGGCGGTGTGGATCGCCAACGTCGTCATCCCGGGCTCTGCGATCTTTTCTAGTCGCATGAGCGCGATCGGTGCTCCTGTCGCAATGGTGGGAGAATACTACCAGGGTAACATGAGTTTGATACGTTTCAAAACTGATCTATAATGAATGATTTGAACTATGAATGCGGCAAAGATGATTTGAAAAGCCAACAGTACGACCAAACCCTGTCGGCGAATGGTGTAAAACATTTTCCACCAAAAAACGTCAATGCCGATTCGCCGTTAATCCCGCCTCTCCCTGTATCCTCCCACTTCCCCTCCCCTGCCCCTACCCCTGCCCCTTCCCCTTCCCCTTCCCCTGCCCCTTCCCCTTCTGCTTCCCCTTAACCCCTGCTCTTCACCCCCCCGCGCAGAGCTACGGCGGAGTCAAGGGTATTGCGCGCATGACGCGCGGACCCGACGCGGTGATTGCGCGCAAGACGATGGAGAAGCGCGCGCTGGTCGCAATGGTGACTGCGGCGCATGCGCGGAAGCTCGACAAGAAGGGGGGAGTCGTCGGAATCTTCTCCCCCAGGACCCAGGTACGCCCTGAAAGATCCCTCACTCAGGTACGCCCTGGAAGATCCCTCACTCAGGTACGCCCTGGAAGATCCCTGACTCAGGTACGCCCTGGAAGATCCCTGACTCAGGTACGCCCTGGAAGATCCCTGACTCAGGTACGCCCTGGAAGATCCCTGACTCAGGTACGCCCTGGAAGATCCCTGACTCAGGTACGCCCCCATCCCCTCCCCTCCCAACCCTTGTTCTTTTCTCTCATCACAGACCAGCCCGCCAGGTACAAGCAGCAGAGCAAGGTCCTTCTGCCATCTTCTGGCACACAAACTCCTCTCCCCTTCCCTTTTCTCCCTTTCCCTTCTTTCCGCCTTTCCCTTCTTTCCGCCTTCCTTCTTTCCCCCTTCCCTCTTTCCGCCTTTCCCTCTTTCCCCCTTCCCTCGTTCCCCCTTCCCTCTTTCCCCCTTCCCTCTTTCCCCCTTCCCTCTTTCCCCTTTCCCTCTTTCCGCCTTTCCCTTCTTTCCGCCTTCCCTCTTTCCCCCTTCCCTCTTTCCCCCTTCCCTCTTTCCCCCTTCCCTCTTTCCCCCTTCCCTCTCTCCCCCTTCCCTCTATCCCCCTTCCCTCTTTCCCCCTTCCCTCTTTCCCCCTTCCCTCTTTCCCCCTTCCCTCTTTCCCCCTTCCCTCTTTCCCCCTTTCCTTTTTCTCCCCCTTTTCCTTCCTCCCTCTCAGAACAAGCCCGCCAAGTACCAGCAGTTGAGGCAGCAGAACAAGGTGCATTCGCCCTCTCCTCATGCTCCTTTACCCCCACACGCCCGCCCCTCCCTCCCCCTCCCCACCCCCCCCTCCCCCCTCCCCCTTCCCCTCAGAACAAGCCCGCCAAGTACCAGCAGTTCAGGCAGCAGAACAAGGTGCCCACTCAGATGGCGACACGTGTCGCTGATGTCATCATCAGAGCGCTAAGGAAGGAGAAGGCAGCCGTCAACATCGAGGACCTGGCTAAATACGATCCGTCAGGGACGCTTCCTATGCTGGTGGCATACGGCCATCCCCTGTGCAGCAAGAGTGAGTTGCATCAAGCCCTAGGTGATTTTATGTTCTAAAAAATCACTTACACGTGCAAATAACTTGCTATTTCCTCTTCCTCCTATAACCTGCCTCACCAATTACCTTCTCCCAGCACATGCACGTGCCTCTTCCTCCTATAACCTGCCTCGCCTAAAACGCCTATTCTCCTCCCCCTGTCTCACCACCCTAACCCCTTGTGTAATGAGTCGATTTTTTAGTCGACTCAAAAATTGACTCATTACACACTATTCATCTCCCCCTGTCTCACCACCCGAACCCCTTCCATCACGAGCAGACGAGTGCTGCACTACCCTAACACCTCAATCCTAACTCAACTGACTGCTGCTGCTGCTGACACCAATTCAGCTGTGCTATTTAGCTACTCCTGCATCATACTCATCTCCCCCTGTCTCACCACCCTAACCCCTTCCATCACGAGCAGACGAGTGTGCAAAGTGCAACGTCACGTCCAACCCTTGCATCGCCGGTTACACCTGTAACAGCGGCAAGTGCGGTAACCCTATCCTCGAACCCGACGGCACCAGCTGTGTCGAGTCCGACTACCAAGGCAACACTTTTCCAGGCTTCTGCCAATCCGGCACCTGCCAAATCTCAGCCGTCCAATCCTACTATGGCGCCGCCCAAAAAAACTCCATGTGGCTGCCCGAGGGCGTCAGCCTGCCCGCACTGCCCGAGCTGAAAATTTCAGTCAGCCCGGGACTCGCTGGGACGAATGGCAGCGCGGCAGGATTCATGGGCAGGAGTCTAGGGTTCTGGCACCGGTTGTCCCGGCAATCCCGAAGCTGCACATTTAATAATGGTGGATGCGGGGTGTTTGCGTGTCGTGTTGACTACAGGAAGAAGAGGACAGCGTGTGTGAACCCCAAGAGTAAGAGACTCATCGCCCTCCCCCTTCCCCTCCACCCCCCCCCCTGGCCCCTCCCCCTCCCCTCTCCCCTCCACCCCCTCCTCTCCCCCGCCTCCCCCCCCCTCACACCACCCACTTCTGCCGCCTCCCTTCTGTCACTTTCCCCTCTCCAACGTGTACAAATGCTGCTTCATGGTCCATCCATGTATTCTCCAATATTCTCCCTCGATTCCCCTTGATTCCCCTCGATTCCCCTCGATTCCCCTCGACTCCCCTCGATTCCCCCCGATTTCCCCTGCTTTCTCTCACCCCCTTCACTGACTCTGGCCATCTTTGACCCCCCCCCATCCCTTGTAAATCTCTCTTTCCCCCCGTCGTGCAGAATTTGGCTTTGCAGCAGCGCCTATGGGTGTTGATTTCCCCCACGGATCAACCATCAAATACTCCTTCCCTACAGCACCAGCGAAGTGCATCCAAAAATGCAAAAAGATTCAGGCTTGTACACTTGCGGTTACCACAGTAGGCCGAGAATGCTGGCTGAAATCTTCAGTAGGGAATGCTACTGCCAGCATCATCTCATTCCAAAGTTACAAGAAATTGTAGAGATGTCATGAGTGGTGCAATATGTATTGTGTGTAAGGAAAATCCCTTTCCCTTATCGAGCATCACTAACATCGAGTACAGCACTCACTTTCGGAAGCCCAGGCTAGACCGGACAATTCAGGTTCGAACTACGGTACGTTCGAGACCCCAAGCCTACACGCGGCGTCACGTCCGACACTTCCAAGTCCCGAGGCGCCCCGAACCACCTCGCGTGTGTTTCGTGGCCTTCCTCGAGGCTCTCTTGCTAGGCTAGATGTGCTTGTATTTAGCCCTATGCTTCATTTGTACTCGACACTTTTGACGACGGCCTCACTATTGCATTAGTACTCGACTCCTATCCGGAGATTATCAAAACAGCTGGAATCATAGCTACAGTGGCGGAAACAATTGTCCACATGTTTAGCATATTTTTACATTTTGACGAGCTGTACGCTATAAACATTAAGCCTTAATTCATGGTGGCCATACACGTAGAGAGGAGCAGTTAGAGCGCTCACTCAAATCTCCTAAAACCAGAGTAGTATATTTCATGGTCCTTCAAGATGACAACATTTAATAACAGCACATCCGGACAATTTGTACCGGGAACAGGCAGCAAACTAGTTACTAGCAAAACTAGTACCTAGTCAACCGACACTTGGCCTTGATCACCACCTACACCCTCCTAGGCATGTTATCTATGAGGTTAGTGCAAACCTTTACGGGGATATTCTCGCACTCTTCCTGGACCCACGCTATTGCATAAGGGGGTGAGCACTCTTCTCGCACTCTTCCTCTTGCTCACCCCCTATGCAAAAGCGTGGGTCCAGGAAGAGTGCGAGAAGATCCCTGTAAAGGTTCGCACTAACCTCGTAGATAACATGCCTAGGAGGGTGTAGGTGGTGATCAAGGCCAAGTGTCGGTTGACTAGGTACCGTACTAGTTTTGCTAGTAACTAGTTTGCTGCCTGTCCCCGGTACAAATTGTCCGGATGTGCTGTTATTAAATGTTGTCATCTTGAAGGACCATGAAATATACTACTCTGGTTTTTGGAGATTTGAGTGAGTGCTCTAACTGCTCCTCTCTAAGTGTATGGCCACCATGAATTAAGGCTTAATGTTTATAGCGTACAGCTCGTCAAAATGTGAAAATATGCTAAACATGTGGACAATTGTTTCCGCCACTGTACATTCCTGCCCATTAAGGCTTCCGTAGTGAGGTAGTTTTTAGAGGGACCTCGCACGTTAGGAGACAGGAGCTGTCCAGCGGTCGTGCAGGAACTTATTCAGTTCCGCCGACTTTGTCGTCTACGCTCCACGTCTCTAACGCTGCAGGTGCCCGTAGTGTCTTTAGTGCCGTTAGCTAGTAAGGGTAATTCATGGTCAATAGCCCTCCTCGCCGTAGTCCTAGAAATATGACTCCCGAGCAAATAGCTGAGTTGCCAGAGGCGGCAGCAAGCGCATCCGTACTGCCGACGAAGGTTAAGGATGGCGAAGATGGAGGCCATGACCCTCGAGCTCGCTGCGTTGAAAAAGGAGAATGTGAGCCTTCGCCAGACGCGTGGTGCGATGCGTCACGAGTCGCTATTACCGTGGACGAAGATCGTGCGAGCGCGCATCAACCGCATGCAACGTCAGCGATACGTGACGACAGTTCGAGCGAGCGACGGGCAGTGTGAAGATAAAACCTGCCATGCCCCCGCCGTTCAACCCCCTTGAGAAACACACCACGCTGAGTGGGTGGTTGTTCGCCATGGAACTGTTCTTCAATGCTGCTGACGTCAACGACGATGAGACATGCGTCAAGTTGGCGGTGCCTTTATTACACGGACCTGCATTAAGTTGGGGGCAACAGTACGTGACGTTACGAGGGACTCCGACAGACCGGCAACAGGCGATGGACAGGGAGCGACGATTGGATTCAACTTCTACAGGATCCTTGTTTGGTGTGGTCGAGATCCTTCTCTGGCAACAGTGGGGTGTACTGCTTTGCCGGCGCTTCGAGCATGTATCCGCATGCGAAAACGCTCGTGCGAAGCTACACGGATGGCGTCAACTGTGTTCTGTGCTGGAGTACACGCCATCTTTCCTCGCCATCTGCGACAAAATCGACGATCTACACGAGATGCAAAAGACAATTCGATACATCCTAGGGCTGAAACCGGAGGTCCAACGCGAAATTCGCATGCGCCGCCCGGCGACGTTCCTGGAGGTGCAGCAGGTCGCAGAGGTGTGGGACGAGAACAGTGTATGGTCGAGGACAAATTTCCGGGAGGGATGTCATTTTCGAGGGCAGAACAGTAACCCATCCATCAACGGCGTGGCGGCACCGTCAGATAACATATTTTATGGCAGGTTTTATAAATGTGCCAGCCAGGGCACATCAAGCAGGACTGTCCGGAGTTGCAGAAATCGGGAGCTAGCGACGGAAGGAAGCCGGGAAATGGACAGCATCAGTAGCGGTCGAGCCCCCTAATGAAAAGGCTTCGTCGCCCGAATATCACCATTCCCACCGAGTTGTAGTGCCGATCTATGTGATCGACCACACCCGGTTAAAGGGGAGTGAACTTGTTGACTGCCCTGTGCTGGTGAAAGGGCACGTTGGCAACATCGAATCAAAAATATTTGTGGACGATGGAGCATCACACAGTCTGTTTGATGTGACAAGAGCGAAGAAACTGCAACTGCAAATGGAGAGGTGCATGCCCGAGATTGACGCGAGGTTGGTCGATAGCACGCCACTTGCAATACGGGAGCGGGTGAAACACGTTCGCATTGATTGCGACAGCCAAGTCAGTTTCGCCATGAAGATGCTGGTGACAACGTTAGACGGCAGCGATGTGCTCCTGGGGCGCGATTGGCTTGGCACGTACAATCCAAGCATCAATGGGAAGAATGGCGATATTCACTTGAAGTGGGGTGGCGAATGGCGACGACTGCCGAAGTGGAAACCACCCGACCCTTAGTCGACACTGGTGAACAAAGTGACTATCATGCGTGTAATGCACGCGGTGTGGACGTCTACGTCATCCGATGGATCGCATCAACAGAGGTGGCTGAACAGACCGACCTGGAGAAGCGGTGTGCTGCTGTACCTGAGGACTTGGCGAAGATCATGCGCAAGTACGATAAGATTTTTTCTGATGACCTATGCTATTTATTGTGTGTTATTTATTGTTTTCCCTTTTCTAGAAATCCCTACTCTTTTCCCTACATACTGTATTGATATATTTCGTATATATCAATTGTGTTACGGAGTGTTTCGGACATTCCTTGTGTGACACATTGTCTGTTGCAAGGAGTGTTCTGTCACCGTCACCGTATCTCTAGAATCTCTATCGTGCTTCTAGGTGGTGTTCCTACGGAAGGTTTCACCCATCTCTAGAACTCTCTTAAAAGGTCCTAGTTACCCTTCCCTAGAGTTCTCGTAGGTATAAATAGCATTAACTCTTTGCTTGTAGACATACAATTATGGATTCAATTATTGATTAGTATCATTCAAGCTTCTGCTAAATCCTGGACCTGTGACACTTGGTAATCAGAGCACAATGTTTCCGATCAACGCCTAGCCGCCGGGCCTTTAGGAGCACGCCGATGATGGAGTCGAACTTTTTGATCACGTAAGTGAATCACTTTTTCTAACTAGCATCGAACATTTGCACCTAGGGTCCCCATCGATGGCTGGCAACATCGCCAACCGTTTGATATTCAACATCGATGGAGCTTATTTTTCGGAGGAGCATATGTCAGCGACTCTCGCCAATGAGAGGACGTCCCCGAAGTACCTGCATTAAAAACTAGAGTATTTTCGGCCCTCCGAAGCGATCGACGGTAGCTGGTGGAACTTACCCTGCGGCGTTTTCAAAGAATTTCCAACTTTGTCACGAATCTTGGAGTTGCGCCAGCGAGATCTACGACAGCCGTCCGATTTAACTTCGACACTTCAGATCGTCTGGGACGAAACAAACCTGAGCTGATGAACGGCACCTCGACGATTTCCAAGTTTCAGCGCCTCTGAAAACGGCACCTCGATAGCAGCGGATTGTTCCCGCGCGTCCGATCATTTGAGAAGGGACATCGACGTCTGCAAAGTGCCGCAGAAAACGAGTCGACTCCGACTGAACGAGCCTCAAGAATATTTACGGATCGCTTAGAGTTTGGACCGTCGGATCAACTTTGAACCAGCGGACCAGATCGAGGGCGAGTTTCCTCTTTACGGTGATTTGCCGCACATAACCAGGTATACGCCGATATCAAATTTGTCGACTGGACTTCCGAAATTTCCAACTCTAAAAAATTCAGATCTCCTCGTCACGTCAGGAATAACAACGACAAAACTTATCGACAGTCGGAATCGTCCACAACAGACACCTACTTGGTAACATCGACTGGCGGAAACGCTGTCGCAGCACGCAGGTCGTCACTTCGTCGACGAATCGACGGCACAAATGGACCAAGAGACTTCTAGATGCGAGAAAATCGTATGGGATTCTACATTCGAGCCTGGCGACACAAGGATTGCATGCTACTCGAAGAGTCGCAGAATCGGTAACATTTCTTATACGAAGTCAGAATCGTTGTTTGAAGCCAGATCGACACCAACAAAGCAGAATTTCGTACTTCACCCAAGAAGCTGATTTTGGTGGTACACCTACAATGCAGCCGAACATTTTCGACGACAAAAAACTTTTTTTCTACAACGACACTAAGTTCGACAAATGGGCGTACTACCGAGTGTAAATAAGTAGCAGTTCTCTCTTGCAAAATCCTTGCCAACACAAGTTGATGCGAAGGAGCAGATTCCGCATACAACAAAAGACATAGTTACTACGTCTCCTCAGGGACAGTGAGAGACTACTTTGTTACAGTAGCTGATCTATTCATCTTTATTACGAAGCGCAGCCACCCGTAGTGATTGGTCGGAGCAGTTTGACATCAACCTCAAGAGACGACATCCCAATCATGTGACCACAATTCCATGTGTTTATGCCATCACACAAAGGCACGAGGGTTGACAGATCGAGGAGTCATGACCTTGAATCCGGCAATCATTCGCACACCTGCGACCCTACGGTACATGTATTGGAGGCGGTTCTACTAGAAGCCGAAGCGTTTCTAGTACCGCTGTCCTAAGTGACTACCGCCATCGCCACCAACACAGCAGACAATTACAGCAACACCCAATCCTGATGGATATGCCTCCAAACCATGTAGATTACATTGGATTTTATTCCAGCATGATTGCAAGACCCGGCCTGGCACTACATCGACGATTTCCAACTAGTGGGATGGAG